TGAATTCATGTAAATGCATTCCAGCATTCCATGCCATTCCAGGCTCACAAGGTAGAGACAGGAGATGCCCCAGAGCAATCAGGCTGGAGATATTAGCCATCTTGGTTGGCAAACTGGGTTTGATTGAGAGACACTGCCAAAAATAATGTGGTTGAGAGCAATGGAGTATGATCCCAAATATCAACCTCAAATTACCACACACATGTACACACACACACACACACACACACACACACACACACACACGGGGAGAATAAGACAAAAATATATTTAAAAGATCACTATTGGTCCTCCTGAACCTTTTTTTTTAATTTATTTATTTTTTGAGACTGGGTTTCTCTGTAGCTCTGGAACTAGCTCTTGTAGACCAGGCTGGCCTTGAACTCACAGAGATCCACCTTCCTCTGCCTCCCGAGTGTTGGGATTAAAGATGTGCACCACCAACGCCTGGCAAGTCCTGAACCCTTTTCATATATCTGTATTACAGTTCCCATAGTCCTTTGCTCACCTCAACATTTTTTAAAGATGTATTTAATTTGTATGTGTATATGCGTAATCCTGTATGTGTACCATGTGCATGCAGGCACCTGAGAATTCCAGAAGAGGGCGTCAGATTAAGGTGGAAGTGGAGTTACAGGCAGATGTGAGCTACACTATGTGGGTGCTGACAACTAACCCCAGGTCCTCTGCAAGAACAACAAATGCTCTCAACTATTGAACCATCTCTCCAGGCCCAGTATTATAGTACTTACCACACTTTATTGTAAGTGGTTGTACCTACACCTCCCGACAAATGGCACTCTCTTGTTAGAGAATCGTATCCCTCACTGTGGTGAAACATGAAGTATTCAAATATTCGTTAGAATTTACACAATGAATCGATTCAGAATTCGGTGAGAATCACCGAAGTCCCTTAGAGATTTGATAAAGGGCATTACCTTTGACAAAACACTTAGTCCTATTGACGGGAACTCACCAGTGAAATTCCTCGCCTATGTCAGTGTCAGGGAAAGCTGTGTTTCTTCTCAGCTACCTATTTTTTGTTCCCTAAAAGCCTTGTGAGTTTCATATGACCTTAACTGCTGTGCAGTTCAAGGCCCACCCCTAGCAGCCACATAGAACTATCTGATAAGCATTTCTGGGTCCTATTCTTGATTTCTCTTCAATCCAGTTTTCTTAGTTATTTATTTGTTCATTGTGTTGGGTATCAGAAGTCACCCCAAGATTTTTGTTTGCTGTTTTGTTTTGTTTTGTTGTTTTGTTTTGAGACAGGGTTTCTTTGTATAACAGTCCTGGCTATCCAGTCACTCTGTGGACCAGGCTAGCCTCAAACTCACAGAGATCCACCTGCCTTCCCAAGCTCTTTGTGGAGCAAATACAGCAGAAAACCAGGGTAAACCATATAGATAATGATCCCACCAAACACCGGTTTTCATTTCCTGTGACCTGGTTTTCAGATTCTTTGCATTTTTGCTCATAACCAGACTTGAGTAGGACAACAAAAGGAAAATGGAAGGTAAAAAGTCTTTTTTTTGGGGGGGGGTTATGAGACAGGGTTTCTCTGTATTGTTTTGGAGGCTGCCGGTCCAGCCTGGCCTCGAACTCACAGAGATCCGCCTGCCTCTGCCTCCCGAGTGCTGGGATTAAAAGGTAAAAAGTCTTAAGGAAGTCCTTCTTAACACATGCACACCCTTACAATGAGGGACCTTCGAAGTTTGTACAATGTCCCTGGAGTGAACGGTTCCTAAATCACTCTGGTGTCAGCCTTGTGGATTATGGTTCATGCCTTTATAACCTGCTCCTGTCTTTCCATGGTCCCCCAGTCCTTGGTTCTCTGCCCTGAATGCAGAGATGAGGCAGTCCTCCTTGTTGACGCTGCTGCTCTGCCATTGCGTGCCTACTGCTGTGTCAATGCAGAGGTGAGGCAGTCCTCCTTGTTGAAGCTGCTGCTCTGCCATTGCGTGCCTACTGCTGTGTCAATTTTCCCCACCACATTTACTCTGCTGATTCATAAATAGTCTGCTGGCGGAGACTCGTTATTGCACACTTGTAGTCCCAGCACTCAGAGCTACATAGCAAGACCATATCTCAAAATAAAATAAACAAATGCCAATATCCCACCTTCATCTAAACTCCCAGGTTTAATATAAGCCAGGTTTTCCCTGCCCTGGTCTTTCCAGCTGGTTTTGAGCCTCGTTAGCAGGTCTTTACGGAGACGGAAGACCTTAAGGAGCCTGAGCCATAAAGGAAATGGGCTGAGAGATAAGAGGGTCAGAGAGATGGTGGAACTGCAGGTAGGAACCAGAGAAATGAAGTCAGAGATGCAATCTAGAGACAAGAGTGGAGTGATGGCGTCACCATGATGTGAAGGATGTGGGTGGAGTCAAAGAAGAAGGACCTACAGTGAATCAGAAACTGAAGCAAGGGATCAAAGTATATGTAGGGCTTAGGGGAAAGAAAAGATCCATGTTGGGGATGAGGTCTGAAGTCGAGCAAGGGCATAAAGATGGAGAAAACCAAGATGATCAGGTGAGGGAGGGTGTATCAGTTCATCAGAGCGGATGACCTCTCTGGCCTGGGCCTTCATTTTCTTGCTGGGTCCTGGGATATGGAGAGAAGCTGTCATCAGCCAGCCCCACGTATCCCCAACACTTTCCACCTCTCTATACCAGGATGCTTTGTGAAAGGGTAATGGTATCGAAGATCCATCTCTCAAGCCTAGGGCTCAGGTGAAGTTCTGGCAAGGGACAGAAGGTATTTCTCAACTGCTCTGGGATTCACCTGCAATGAGGAGCCACTGGCCTTTCATTATCCCTGGATGTCTAGAGAGAATCCCTTCACCTGCTGGGAATGGTGGGTCTGGTAATCACAGAAGGGGAGTCTGGGCTGTCTGTAGCTGATGGCAGTCACAGGAAAGGGCTGAACCAGGATAAGGAGGCCAAACTGAGGGCTTGCCAGGAGCTACAAGAACATCATTCCCAATTAAGTCATATGGTTCTCTGTCAAGAATCATTATCTAGTGCTGACTAGATGGCTCATCACTTAAGAGAATTGACTGTTCTTCCAGAGCACCCACCCACACAGCAGCTAATACTTGTAACTCCAGTTCCAATGAGAATCCGATGCCCTCTTCTGGCCTCCATGGGCACTGCACACACATGGAACACAGACATTCCCACAGGCAAAACACTCATGCATAGAAAATAAAAATAATAAATCTCAAAAATTTTTTTGATCATTTAGTGCTGCTGAGATGGCTTGGAGGGTAAAAGATGCTTGCCACCAAGCCCTAAAGCCTCATGGGACCCACATGGTAGAAAGAAAAAACGTGCTTCCAAAAGTTGTCATCTGACTTCTACATATGCACCATGGTACATGTGCCCCCCCATACACACACTATTAGTAATAATAATAAATATGGCCTGCCAGACAGTGGTGGTGCACACCTTTAATCCCAGCACTCAGGAAGCAGAGGCAGGCGGATCTCCATGATTTGAGGCCAGCCTGGTCTACACAGCAAGTTTCAGGACGGCCAGGGCTGCACAGAGAAACTCTGTCTCAAAACACAACAACAAAATATGGCCTGTTAGGTGGCATAGTGGTTAAAGGAACTTGCCACCAAACCTGATGACTTGAGTTTGATCTCTGGGACCCACATGATGAAGGAGAAAACAGATTCCCTCAAGCCATCCTCTGACCTTCACACCTGCGCTGGGACTAGTGTGCCCTTCCCCAACATGCCTACAAAAGATGTAGATAAATGGTGCGATAGTTTTTTGTTTTAAAGAATCCTTATTGAGAGTGGAATGGTTATAAAGGAGCCAGGCTTGCTCAGTGAGAAGAGGAAGGCCCAGAACACTCTTTCTTGGGGCCTGGGATTTCCCTTAATGGAGGCTGGTAGGGATGGGGCCCTCTGATGGGAGAAAAGGGGAAGGAGGTGTCTGGGGACACAAGGGCGGGGCTAAGAGCAGGAAATGAGCTGGGAACCACCATCACCCTCCAGTGCAGGCACCACAACCAGAGAAGGGGACAAAGAGGAAATGACAGATTGGGGTGGGGTGGGGTGGGGGGGCAGAATCATGCCCTTTTTTTGTAAGTCACTCAGTGCTGACAACAAGCTGGGCAGTGTAGTCCAGATAGCTCAGGGTCAAATCAAATTAAGACATGGTTCTGAATGCGTGCTGGGCAGAGTGGGGAGCCAGGGCTGACTTCCAAGCCCACTGCAAAGTAAGCCAGGGAAGGAACTGAGGAAGCTCCACACCCCAATATCGCAGCTTCTACTCCCAACTTCAAACCAGGGCTTGAGCTAACTCCTTCACTTTCCCTGTGCTCCCCACATTGGCAACTTCTCCCCTTGCCTTCTACCGCAAACCTGATTCTTCTTTGCAAGGGACCTAAAGAAGAGAGCCCCTCCTTCCCCCACACCCTCCTGTGACCCAGCCAAGGTGCGGAAGGCCCAGGTCCTCATCCTTTGGTGCTCTTCTCCAGTTAGTATGTCTCCCTGCTCTCTCCCCAAGCTATATCCTCAGGCCCGCTGGGCCCATTCCCTCCTATGTCTCCATTTATTCTCCTACCAACGATCCCTTCCCTGCTCTTCTGACACAGGATCTCCATTCCCACCCTCTGTCCCTGTCTTTATCCCCTAACCTGATTCATTCGCATCTCTAGACTTTCCAAAGTCACCATCCCCCTCTCAGCCACCTGTCCCCTGACTATTACAGAGGCCAGCTGCTCTGCCTTCACTGAGTTGGAGTTCGCATCCTGGCCCTCTCAGCCACCTGTCCCCTAACTATTACAGAGGCCAGCGGCTGCCTTCACTGACTCACATTTCCTGTCTTGCCTGTGCACAGGTTTCACGGACGGTGATCCTGGGCCACTGGGCCCTAGAAGCTGATTCTGCCCAACAGACCAAATCAAGCTGGAGAAGACAAGCGTGGTGACTTCGTGGCAGTCCGGTCACCCACCCACCAGCTGCCCCCTGCTCCAGTTAGCCTCCTTACCGTCCTGGCCTGAGTGCTGCAGATGCTCCTGTAAGTCACACCCAAACACTCGCTCCTTGGAGTAACCCTTCTTCTTTCCTTTCTGCCGAGACTTCATGGCCAGAGCCCCAGGGATCTGGCCCCGACAGCTCTGTCCCCCCAAGACCTTTGACCTACCAGTCCCCCATGGAATCCCAGTCAGTAGTTGGGTTTGGCCCAACCCCAGAGGGGCAGGGCTCCAAACTGGAGGTGGACGGTGGCCTGGGCAACAGACAGTAGCACTTGCCTCTGGGGTCCCCAGGGCCACACGGAAGTGGATATAGAAGAGGAAGCTACCAGAACCCTGGCATGAAGCTGTGTCTCGTGGCCAAGCAGAGCACTAGCCCTTCTCGCCCTGTGCAGCTCTAGGGGGGCCGGAAGCTGTGCAGCTCCTCAAACCCGCTTCCTGTTAGAGCATCTCTGCAACCACAGGGCCTGGGGTGGGGGAGGTAGCTGACATTCACATCCTCATCATGGCTGGGACTCCATCCATTGGTCACAAAGGGAGGTGATGTCAGAACGCTTGGGTGGAGTAATGGTGCCTGGGGTGTGAGCAGGTGGCTGGCATTTCTAGAGACCAAAATTCTTGGGTGGGACAGAGACCTGCGGCTTGCCGGTGAGCAAGGCAAGAAAGTAGCGTGCAGAATATACTCAGGATGGAGGATGGCCATCTTTTGTCAAGCCACATTACGTCACCGAACCTTAGTTGCCATACCTTTGAAAATGAGGACACAGACCAACTGGCCTTTGAGTTTCAGTTTCTTTGTCTGTAAAAGGGTACATGGCTGTCCCGCTCACACAGCTGCTGGAAGTTTCCATTACAGTCAAATTTGAAACACTTTGCAAACGAAGGCACTGGCTTCCCCTAAAGGAGGTCATGCTTACCCTCTCCTACCTGAGGGCACTCAGAAATGGCTAAAAGTATTTTGAAAGCTATTTGCTTCCTTCTCAGCTGCAAGTATCTGGGTCCTCACTCTGCCTGGGAGCAAAGAAAGAATGACACAGAGACTGCGTGGCATTGGTGACTTACCCAGTTCAAGGGGCAAGACAGGAGTCAGACGGAAAAGGTTTTATCTGTTTATTTAAAAACAGAATATCATTTTATATACAAATTTACATATATTTACATGAAATATACACACTAGGACCCCAGATCCTCAGGGTCCACAAGTCCTGGGTTGGTTGGGGACAGCATGAGAGCCTCTCCTTTAGACCAGATTGCAGGACACACAAGGTTTGGATACCAAGTCTCAGTACTCAGACTGAGTAGGTTTTGGCAGGCTAAAGAAAACAAACTCCTAACCCCAGGCCCCACACATAGAAAGTGCCAGAAGAGCCCCAAATTAATGATTCGGAAAACCCTGGGGAAAGGAGCTATTGTCACCCTCACCCTCAGCAGCTGTTTCTCCTCACCTGAATGTCCACTGTCCCTCGCTACCCTCTGCCCTCTACACAACTGAACCAGGGCCCTTGACACCAAGTCCCAGCTCCGTGAAGGCACAAAGAACTGCAGACACAACTAGGGGCGGGTTTGCAGACCATGGGAGCCAAGCACCCAGTCTCTCTCCTCCTCTCCCAGTGTTTATACCTCACAGCACTGGTTCCAGACTCCTCCAGCTGTCAGCTTCCTCTGCAGAGCCTCTTTGGGTGAAGGTGCCCTAGGAGGAGAACTTTCCAGAACCATGGGAATTAGCCCCTGCTGGGGGGTCTGCTAAACAGTTGGGCTGGCCTCGCTTACACAAGCCCAGTAAAAAGCATACATATAAATCGAAAAGGGTTTTTTTGTTTGTTTGTTTGTTTGTTTGTTTGCTTGTTAAGTTTCTTTTTCTTGGCCAGGCATTGGTGGTACATATCTTTAATCCCAGCACTCGGGAGGCAGAGGCAGGCAGATCTCTGTGAGTTCGAGGCCAGCCTGGTCTATAGATCGAGTTCCAGGACAGCCTCCAAAACTATACAGAGAAACCCTGTCTCAAAAAACCAAAAAAAAAAAAAAAAAAAAAGAAAGAAAGAAAGAAAAAGAAAAAGAAAAAAAAGTTTCTTTTTCTCGAGTTAAAGGAGACTGAGCAGAACTCAGGAGGCTCCTTGGAGGTTAATGTACAGAAGGTATGTATGTCCATGCAGCAGGTAGCCCACAGGCCACCAGAGGGTAGAGGGCTTCTGTAACAGTTCAAGCCTCTGGCAGACCCCTGGGTGTCTGTTTCACACTTGCTCCCAAAGGGTGGGAACACAGCTCCCCCACTTTGGAGGTCAGACTCTAGCTCCAGCTATGCCCGCACACCTGGATCTGGCCCACAGCCTCCACGCCTCACTTCCAACCTCTGCATCACTAATACTGCTCTGGGGTCTGAGGAAAATACCTGCATCTGCAGGCAGAGGTCACACATGAACACACATGAAGCACACTACTAACAGGCTACACCCAATCAATGTTCAGCACACAGCCACAAATCCTGTGGCACACACACCATTCACGTGGGCTCTTAACATGACGGCACAATGCACACCATATGCCATGGACAGTCATGCCTCCGTGCACATACAGTGGAGTGCCATGCACGCTCACACGCACACACACACACACACACACACACACACACAACGGTGGGAGGCACTCAGCCAGTGGAGCCCTCCTGATGAACAGAAGGATTGGAGGTAAAAGTGGAGCAGTCAGTGGGTGGGAAGTATCTGCCTAAAGAAACGCAGGCATGCTAAGGAGGGTTGCCCTAAGAAGAGTTGAAATCTCCCATGGAAGCAGAGGAGAGCAGGCCCGGGGACGGAGGCCAGCCGGGGTCAGACCAAGTGCCCTCGCCCGTTGATGTAGATGCCATTGCCTGTGGGTTTGGCCCTCAGGGTCCCGTTCTCCTGAACAAAATGGTTCATGGCCTGTTTGATGCCTTCATCCTGATCCTCCTCCTCTGTCTGCCCAGAGCCTGGAGACAGTAGTTCAGTCTGTGTTTCAATCTCTCTCACTGTAGTCAACGTGGAGTAGCTACGGCCCTCTGGCTCTTCACTCTGGAGACCAAGGGCAGAGGATAGGTCAGGAGTGGAGAGCAAACAGGCAGACACAGTGGGGTAGGGCTGGGTTGTGATGGGGTCAGAGGTCAGGTAAGGCATGGACAATGGCTGTCCCAGAGGCATGGCATGGGGCTTGGGGGTTGGGGGTGGGGAGGGCAAGGATGAGTGTTATACATAGGGGTGGAGAGACAGCGGACAAAGGCACAGCAGAAATGGGGGGCAGGGATCGCATGTGAGTCAGGGACAAGATGCAGGGACTGGCGTAGGGGGCTGCTGTCACACCACATCGGGGGTTAGGAGAGGGGCCTGAGGAGAGTGTTGGGGACACCGGTGGGGCCGGGGGGGCCTCACCATCACAGAGCAGCTACTGTTGTCCTTGAGACTATCAGGGTGGCCCTCCGCTCTCAGCCCTACACTCTCCTCCGGCTGCAGGGGCCCAGACATAGGGGAGGAGTTAGAAGAAAGCTCTGCCTCCTCCCCTCAGCCTCCTCCCTGATCACCTTTACCCCAACCCATAGGTCCATGTGTTTCTGACACAATCATCTTCCTCCCCTCATCGACTCCCCCAAGGCCACCCTGGCACCACCAGGGTGGTGGATTCCTAGAGCAGCCCCCAACCCAGTGCTAACAGGGCCTTGCATGGAGGAGTCCCAGCAGCCCCAAAGCATCTAGCCCCGGCTAATGGTCCAGCCTCGGCTCAGCTCCAGCTGTGAGTAAGCAGCCAGACCTGGGAAAGGGGCTACACTCCTAGCTACAGAGGCACCCAGAGCCAAGCAAATCCGTGTCCACGCCCCACACGTGCGCCCAACCTTAGCACACACCTGGCTCCTCGGGTCCGTGTGATGAGAATGCAGCCTCCGGATGGAATTCTCCCTGGTCAAAGTCAGCTCCTCCTCACTGGGAAAGACATCCCCTTGTCAGGAACTGAGGGCAGTGGCAGCCTCCTAAGGTGAGTCTAGCCTGGGTGAGCCTGAGTACCACGGCTGGAGGGTACAACTGCCAAACTATGTCTGCAACTGAGTTTATGGTTGCAGACCAAATGTGGCTAGAAAGCGTGGGTGAGCCACGAAGTGCATGGTAGAGGATGCCTGGGGAGTATGAATCTGTGCTTCTCTCAGGCACGCCTCTGCCCATGCAGCTGTGGTCCAGGTCCCAGGCTTCCCTCACTTTCCCAAAGACACCAGCCGTTAGGCTACCCAGTCTCCTTTCTCCTCGGTTCAGGTTCACCTCCCGCTCCGCCCACTCCCGCTCCGCCCACTCCCGCTCCGCCCACTCCCGCTCCGCCCACTCCCGCTCCGCCCACTCCCGCTCCGCCCACTCCCGCTCCGCCCACTCAGTGTAGCCAGTACTCACTATTTCTGGGTCATCTGCTGTGCTTTCCGCCGATGGTATCGGGACATGAGCACCACCACCACCACCAGCAGGCAGAACAAGAGCGCGGCAATCACACCCACGACCACCACTGAGGCCGACACTAGGTCCACTTGTTTTCCTGGATCTTGAGGGTCTGCTGGAGACAGGCCAAGTTCTGAGGCGTGTGCCCAGGACCTTTCTGGATCCGCCCTAGGCCCCATTGCTACCCAAATGTTATCCTCACAGAACACATCCACGGCTACCTACTCAGCTTAACCCTCTCCAAAAATACACGCTCCATCATCCCCAAAAACATTCTTTCCCATTTCTCTCTCTGCCTTGCTTCCTGTTGTCCACCCCCAGCTCAGGATTCAGCATCTCCATCATCTCAGGACTCAGTATCCCCATCATCTCAGGACTCAGCATCCCCATCATCTCAGGACTCAGTATCCCCATCATCTCAGGACTCAGTATCCCCATCATCTCAGGACTCAGTATCCCCATCATCTCAGGACTCAGCACCCCCATCATCTCAGGACTCAGCATCCCCATCATCTCAGGACTCAGTATCCCCATCATCTCAGGACTCAGCACCCCCATCATCTCAGGACTCAGCACCCCCATCATCTCAGGACTCAGCACCCCCATCATCTCAGGACTCAGCATCCCCATCATCTTAGGACTCAGTATCCCCATCATCTTAGGACTCAGTATCCCCATCATCTCAGGATTCAGCATCTCCATCATCTCAGGATTCAGTAACCCCATCTTTGTTCCCAGCCACTGTGTTTACCAAGAACTTCCACGGTGACCTGAGAATCCCTCGAAGCAAGATCATTGCTGACGCGGCAGACATAGATGCCACTGTGCTCCGTAGTCAGCGCCGGGAAGCCCAGAGTGTCCCCTTTCACTCGCACCCCACTGGGCAGAGGTCCATCCAGCCTGAAGGACAGGGAAGCTGAAGGGTGCTGGCTGGGGCAGGCTAAGGCGCCACCACCCAACATGCCCAGGCAGCTCTTCACCCCCCTCCCCATGACGTCATCCAGAGCCCCAGGCTGTTCCCACGGTGCCCCTCCCTACCCTAGGCAGGTCTAGGCAGAGGCCCTTTCTCCCTGCCGCCCAGCCTGACCCGGGCACCCCCACACACACTTGGGGAAGATCCACACGCCTGCCATCCCACATGCTACCACAGGCATCACGTCATCCAGCACCAGGTAACAGGTATACATGCTACAAAGTCCACACAACAGGACTCTCCACTCCTAGCTGGGCTCAGAGGTACTTGGAAACTGTGACTGCATGCTCCAACACCTATGGTAGCGCATGGTGGAGTAAACAAACCCAGCCCCAGGCACAAGGCCTCATGTATTGTTCATACATCATGTGAGAACATGACTATCATAGGCTCGCATACATGGATATCCTACCCCTTCCCAATTCTCTGGGGGGAAAAGGCAAGAAGTCTTGAAGGAGCTGGTGGAAAAGTGTGGTTGTCTCTGAGGGGCTGACAACAGGATGGTCATAAGGAGTGTTGGTATAACATAAGGAGTGTTGGTATAACAGCGTGTCTTTGTCTCACACACTTTTAGCACTCATAAATACATAAAAGATTAGTGTTTAATATAGCTCAAAGTTAGTTACATTTCATAGTTTAAAGTTAGTTTAAAAAAGAAAAAGTAAAGAAGATATCTACATATCCCCTGTGGTAACCACGCATTCCCTTGAACAAGCCAGTAAAGTTTGCTGACTGTGCAAATTTTTATATTGTTCAGAATATGTGGTCCTAGCTCCCAATGAGCTCATCCTGGTCCTGGAAAGGAAATGATGCTAGTCCCAAAGTAGGCCTTTCTCCAGGCAGAGGTCCTTACCGCGTCCAGTTGTATGAGGGCGGGGGCTGTCCTTCACTCAGGCATTTGAGTGTAGCTCCTTCTCGGCCAACATGCCATAAGTTTTGGTCCTCAAGGCCCCTCACAGAGGCCTCTGCAAGGACTGGAGTGGGGGGGTTGAAGATGAGAAGATGCCTCAGTTCAGGATTCTCTGAAGACCCTCTGTCTACGGATATCCTCACCCACGGCTCCTGGCCACACTGTTCCCCCTCCCCCATCTCAGAGGCATGAGCCAGCAAGTCCCTTGGGGTAATGGAGTTTCACACTCTTTCTGAATCTCCTATGACACTAGCATAGTGCTACTCACAAAACTCAGCTAATGCCTAACAACCCAACGAGCTTGTTCATTTTCCTAACAAACATTTGTCCATTTCTAACAAGATTAAGTAACTGTTGGTAAATAGCAGAATGGTGACTTGTCCCAAGTCTGTCTCCAAACCCTTAACTGTATTTTTTGCAAACACCTTCAACTCCATATTTTATTCTCCCATCAACTCTGTAAAAATAAGGCAGTCTTTTCCATAAAGCTCACAGAGATAGCAGGTGGCGGTGTCACACGCCTTTAATCCCAGGACCCAGAAGGCAGAGGCAGGCAGATCTCTGTGAGTGTGAGGCCAGCCTGGTCTCCAGAGTGAGTTCCAGGACCACACAGCAAAACCTTGCTTCAAAACAAAACACCAAACAAACAAACAAAAGCTCACAGTGATTTTCCCAGGACATCTAGGTTGGCCAAGTGGTCTGCCTTTGGATTAGACTGTGAACTCCAAGACTCAGGTTCAGGGTCACAGTGTCTTAGCACTATTTTCAGAACGTAGGGACATCTTACCCATATGTCCCAATACTCACAGGCCACTTGGAGGGTGTGGGTGATCCTCCGGTCCTGGAGCAGGCCAGGGTGAGACACCACACAGGTCAGCGGCTGCCCGTTCATGCTTCGGCTGGGCACCAGGTGAAACTCTGAAGTGACGGCAGCTGATCGAGAGTGCTTGAAGGAGCGGTTGGACTGTGTGCCCTTGACCTCTGTGTCCCAGGTGACAATGGGAGCTGGGCTGCCCTCAGCAGTGCAAGAGGCTGCCAACGTCAGGCCCTGGCCCTCTTCTAGTGGTGGGCCCGGGTTCAGTGAGGGCAGGGGAGGTACTGTGGGGAGGGAGGGGCGTGTGAAAGAGCTGCACGGTCTGTCAGGAGGCCACTCCCAGTCTTACCCAGTTGCAAACTTCAGTCCCCTTTCCTCTCTTTCTCTTTATTATTATACTGTGTTCTGTCTGCATGTCTCCCTGCAGGCCAGAAGAGGGCAGCAGATCTCATTACAGATGGTTGAGAGCCATCATGTGGTTGCTGGGATTTGAACTCAGGACCAGCTAATGTTCTTAACCACTGAGCCATCTCTCCAGGCACACTTTTTTTTTTTTTTTTTTTTTTTTTGGTTTTTCGAGACAGGGTTTCTCTGTATTGCTTTGGAGGTTGTCCTGGAACTCGCTCTGTAGACCAGGCTGGCCTCAAAATCACAGAGATCTGCCTACCTCTGCCTCCCAAGTGCTGGGATTAAAGGTGTGAACCACTAGCCCGGCTGAAGCAGGGTTTCTCTGTGTAACAGTTCTGGCTGTCCTGGAACTCACTCTGTAAACCAGGCTGTCCTTAAAGGCACAGCAATCTGTTTGAGAACAGCCTGCCTCTGCCTCCCAAGTGCTGAGATTGAAGATATGTACAACCGCAGCCCAGCATAGGTCATTGTTTAAAAACATAAAAATAATTTTAGAACTAATTGGATAGTATCTATGTAATAATAGCAATAATAATCACTACTTACTATGTGTCAACTATTATGCTAAATACTTTGCATACATTATCTCATTTAATTTTGCCAACAAACTAGTGAGGTGAGCATTATTATGCCTGTTTTTCAGATGAGGAAACCAAAGTTCAGGGAGGGCCAGTGATATGTTCCAGGTCGTCAGCTCTTGAGTGACAAAACCTAGAGTCACAGATTTTCTTTAGGGGTGTGTGTGTGTTGGTCTTAAATTTTCCATCCTCCTGACTCAGCTTCTGGAGCAGTGTAAGTATAAATATGTATCACTATGCCAGCTTTTTTTTTTCCAGACAGGGTTTCTCTGTATTGTTTTGGAGGCTGTCCTGGACCTTGCTCTGTAGACCAGGCTGGCCTGGAAATCACAGAGATCTGCCTTCCTCTGTCTTCTGAGTGCTGGGATTAAAGGCATGCGCCGGACCCCCCTTCTCCCCCTCCCCCTCCACTTTTTTTTAAAGAAACATTTTAATGACTTATTTTTATTTTATGTGTATTAGTGTCTTGTCTGCTTGTATGTCTGTGGAGTGTCAGATCCTCTGGAACAGAAGTTACAGACAGTTGTGAGCTGCCATGTGGGTGCTGGGAACTGAACCCAGGACCTCTTCACAGCTGGGCCAACTCTTCAGCCCTATGCCAGCTTTTTTATTTTCTTTCTTTCTTTTTTTTTACACTCAGGTTTTGTTTTGTTTTTTCCCTCCAGTGTTGATGTTTCTAACTTCCACCCAGAGCAAAACCATGAAGACTTTTAATTCTAGCTTCAAAACAGCCCGAAGCACAAAACTAAAAAGAGAATTTGACCATAGGTCCAGGTTGGCTAGCACCACTGTCTATGGCCTCTGTCTTAGACCACATTCACTGAAGGCCCAGTCAAGGACTGTCTTACCCCGGTTGCTCACAGATAGCCACATCACAGCTGGACCTCACGTCCACGTTTGGGACTCCCACATTTTAAAACTATAGCGCCTGGGATGGTGAAGGAGGCTTTGCATTGGTGTCTTTCAGTTAAGTGCAGCTTGGAAAAGGGGATTTAAGTAGAGTCTGGCTAAGGTTCTCTACTCTTTGAAAAACTGTTCAGAAGAACAAGCCCATGCCCCAGAAGCACAAAGGTGCACAGAGTGAAATTCGGACCATCAGGACAAGCTTTCTAAAATATGTATCATTCACCAGTGCTTTGGGAGAGAATTTATGGGTTGGGTGGGAGGGGCCGGGTAATCTTCCCTCACCCCTACAGGGCCTTATCTTTTTTTTTTAAGATTTATTTATTTATTATGTGTACAGTGTTCTGCCTGCATGTATCCCTGCAGGTCAGAAGAGAGCACCGGATCTTATTTCAGACGGTTGTGAGCCATGATATGGTTGCTGGGAATTGAACCTCTGGAAGACCAGCTAGTGTTCTTAACTACTGAGCTATCTCTCCAGCCCCGGTCCTTATCTTTTATATCTGCCTATTCTGCCTCTGCCCCAAGGTTCTCTTCAGTCTTATCCTGCCCTCACTTACGAATCCTGATCATGCCCAGCTGGTCCTACTTACCCAGAACGCGGAGCCGCATCCGTGCCTGGAAGCTGCCGGCCGGGAAAGTGCTGACTCTGCACTCGTACTCGCCCTCATCTGCTTGCACAGCGTTGCGCAGGAGCACAGAGCCGTCCAGAGGGTCTCGTGGGGGCGGGGGTTGCTCCACGCGGTCCTCATAGGCGGGACTCACATGAAGCCCGTATTTGGAGTGCAGTAAGGCCAGCTCCCGAGTGCCCTCGTTTGGGTCCACCCGAGCCCATGCCACTTGCCCCACCTGCTCGTCCGGATCCCCTCGGTAGAAGCAGGGCAATTTTGCGTCCTGGCCCAACACCACGGTCACTAAGTCGGAGGTCTCCAGCTCCCCCGCCGGGCATCGGCCTGCAGGGGGCAAACAGAAGCGGTCAGGATGAGGGGGACTGCCTGGACCAAGGGAACGCAATCAAAATGATGACAACAAAGGCCGCCGGAACTGCCTTTGTGCTTGCAAAGCGCATTCACTCTATTACCTCATTAGATCCACACAACATTCCCAAGAGGTGGGCGTTATTATCGCCATTTAACAGAGGAGGAAACTGAGATCCAGAGGGAAGTGGCTTGCCTAAGGCCACACAGATGATTTATGGAAGACTCACCCTTTTGCAGTCTGGGATTCTATCTGAGCAAAGAAACTATAACAGGACCAGAGTCCTAGCTCTGGTCATCAAGGAGCTGACAACCTATCAGGAAACGACGAAATCTCTGCACATAGAACCAGGAAACCAGGGACAAATTTCACAGGATGCTCAACCTACCAAGCAGGGTAAAAGTAAAAGTGAACGCTTTGGGAATGAATGGTGAGGAGCAGCTGAAAAAGTTCAGATGTTTGGTGCCTGGCGTGAGGCATTTGGGGAGGGTGTCCATCCTGACAGGCCCTTGGGAACATTTTTCACATGGTTTGAAGATGAGAGACCTGGAATCCCAGAGAGAAGGAGGTATCCCATGTGGGAGGAATGGCATGAACTGAGGTTTAGGGGCAGGGACCAGCAAGTCACTGAAGACAGAGAGCCCCCAGGTCAGGGGCCTGGAGAAATGAGGTCAGGGCAGGCACACAGCAATTGGATCAGAATGTTGAGACAGGATCAGATGACCAGGGATGAAGGACTAGTGTTTTGATAATCGATGAGCAGCTATACAAAGCATTTGGAAATTTTGAAATTAGATACATCCATTATACAACCTCATTGGCAAATAAATATCCATTTCCTGCCCTCACGGAACCCAAGGTCTGTTTAGGAGGAACAAATACAAATGGTAGACATCTATCCATCCATCCATCCATCCATCCACCCATCCATCCATCTGCCATCTATCTACTAACAGATAGGTATGGAATCACGCAATGACAATTTCTTTTTCCTCTCTCTCTCTCTCTCTCTCTCTCCTCCTCTTCTTTCCTTTTAAGACAGGGTCTATCTATGCAGCCTGCCAGGCTGGCTTCAAACTCACTGTTCTCCTTCATCAGCCTTCAGAGTGATTGGATTCCGGGATACGTCACCACACCTAACTTGTAATGGTAGTTTCTGACTTAGTGTTTGGTGGCTTGTTGTCGGTTGTTTGAGGCATGTGGGAGTCACAGGGAGGGCTTCATGTATGAGTTGGGTGGGATCAGGAGGCCTGGGAAACCTAGAAAGGCATTGTGGGTACAGGAGCAAGGTAAGCAAACACTAGGAAGTGGAGAGGCTGGCTGCTGGTTCAGGAAGCAAAGAGAAGAGGACCCAGCCTAAGGGAGGGTGTGGGGGGGGGAAGGGGGAGAGGGTGTGTGTGTGGAGCAGCAGTGGAAATACAGCTGGGGTAGGGTGGGTCCAAATAGCCCAGGATGTCATGCCAGGAAAAGGAATTCAAATTTGGTCAAGAGGAAATGGAGTCACCAAAGTCTCTCCAGCCAGCCAGTGGCATGAAGCAGGTGACAGCATGCAGTCTGACCAGAAAACAGGTCACGGAAAAAGACCAAGGCAGATACCATGAGGCTGTAGCTGCCTCCCTGGCAAGGTGGTGCTGGGCAGACGAGAAGGGACATTTGCTGGGTCACGGACTGGAGAGAGGTGAGGAACAGGAGAACTTCAAAGATAACTGGATGTCTGCAATGAGTAGCTTATAAAGGAGGTTGGACCTGGGAATGCTTATTGTTATGAAAATATAAATAATACCCAGGGCCAAGCGCTGGGCCAAGGCAGAAGAGCTCTCTGGGAGAGCAAGAGCTCCAACTTAGAACATCCAACTGCTTCTAATCCCCGCCTCTAGCCAGTACCCACACCCCCTGTCACCTTTGCACACACTATACCCCTGCCTGGAATGCTCTCCTCCCTGTGTCTGGCTGCTCCTACTCATCACTGTCTGGAGCACTCCTACTCATGCCTGAAGACTCTGCTTAGGTATCATTTCCTCCTGAGTCCTCCCTCCCTTCCCCCCTCAAGCAGCTTCTTTGGGTGCTCTGCCCTGTGCTTCCTCAGCTCTCCGCTTTAACCCAATCATAGCCCTTCAGCCTATAGATCGGGTCTTCCATTTTCTCGACCTCCTTCCCCAAGGCCTCGAACTCTATGAGAATCCAAAGAGGGTCATGTATCACATAGCAAAAACACGGTTTCTGATTTCATGCTCAGTCAGTGGTATGTGGCCCCCTTCCTGTCACTTAATTGGACCTTGATGAATGTCTATTGACTGACTGACTGAATGAATGAATGAGTGAGTGAATGAGTGAATGAATGAATGAATGAATGAATGAAGCCAGGCATGGTAGCCCATACCTCCTAATTCCAACACTTGGGAAGGTTCAGGCAAGAAGATCTAGGGTTCAACGCCATCCTGGGCAAGAGGGAGACAATGTCTCAATCCCCACCCCTCAGAAACAAAAAGAATATACAAATGAGTGAACAGATGCATGGAAGAGATAGGCAACAGGAAGAAAGTAGACTCAAGAGGAATGTACAGTCCCTTAGTCGGACTAGGCAGGGAAAGTGTTGGCACGGCAACCTTGAAGTGGGGGTTCACTGTCTGGGTTCACTGCCAAAGGGAGTGTCTCTGGACCAGACAAAGGAAGAAGGGAGGAGGAAATGAAGCATGGAGGAGGGCCCGAGGGTCCCAGGGAAACAAGCGAATGGGTCTTGTGGCCCAGATAGGAGAAGCAGGGGGGACGGGTGCTGCTTCTGGGAGTTGGGAGGGCCCCAGACCGGACGGGACAGACCTGCAGGGCCAGATACCAGGGCCCTGACCTGCCTAAGCTGACATTGGTCCCACCCAGCCCAGCCTGGGAGTCCAGCTAACCACTTGCACCCCTCCCAGGTGCCTCCTCCTAGCACTAAAGGGAGTAAGATTGTCAAGGAAGGCTGGGGGTGAGGTGCCATATGGGCTCTTCAGCTCACTCTGCTACAAAACACTAATGTAGATTTAAGTCACAATAATGTGGATGCAGGTCCTGGCCCACTAGGAGACACAATCCTTCCAAAGACTATTTCTGTGATACTGTCACATCTGACATTTCCACCCTTGAATTTTACTTTTATTTTATGTGTATGGATGTTTTGCTTGTATATATGTATACTATTGCTTGGTGCCCATGTAGGTTAGAAGAGAGCATCAGATGCCTTGGAAGTGGAGTTACAGGTGGCTGTTAACTACCATGTGGCTGCTGGGAATTGAACCCAGGTCCTCTGCAAGAACAAGCACTCTTAAATGCCATATCTCAAGCCTGTATATTTCCATCCTCATCCCTACACTGGTCCCTGCCCCGCCTATAAATCACCCATGTTCTGTCTCCCCAAATACCTCCTTAGGGCACAGTAAGATATGGGTACCCATCATATACTTGAGTCTCCATCCTCAATGTCCCTAACCCATGAGACCAAGATCCTCATCCTGAAGGTACAAGCCCCAGTTTTGCAGACTGAGGAACTCAGCAGAACAGAAAAGTTCCTTTGGAATTGTCCCTACAAAACTCACACTGTCCTACAGCCGCTATTTAGTGGAAGTATCTCAAGCTTAGAATCTCCACTTCCAATGGCCTTCAGCTCATCTTCTAAATCAAAAGAGATGAGTTAAGAGAACTTGGGCCCAAGTGTCCTTGTCCTGGGTTAAATGGACCCAGGAACCCAGGCTTCCAAGCCAGGGCAGGCCAGGCTTGTCTCCTCCTCTCCCCCACCCAAAGCCTGCCTGGCGTCAGCATGATGATGTCACCAGACTGAAGGAGACACACCGCCTGCCCGGTGAGGTCACCTCATGGGCATGTAGTAGCCAGGCTGGGCCAAGCCCACAGACCCCTCTGCTGCTGCACGTTGTTTGCTGAGGCTGGTGGCCTCCAGCTTCTGGGGCACTCCTCCTCCTCCTCCCAACTCTCCCCACCCCTCCTCTCAAGGAGCACCAGGACGCTGGTCAGGAGCCTTAGTGACTCAGAAGCTGCCACACAGCAGCAGGCCTAGCCACAGCCACTACCACCTTGCGCAAGGGAGAGAACAGGCCCAACTGGCCAGACGGGATCCCTGCCCTCAGCCTCCCCCACCCCTGGCCAGGCCCCCTCAGGCCTCTTTGGGGCCCTGCCCTTTGTGTACCCCGCCTGCTCCCAGACAGGTCCTCCATTCCTGGCTTGGGCTAGCTGGCTACACCCTACTCTGTTCTTTGGCTCCAACTTTCCTTTCTGTGTAAGGCTTGGCCTCTGAGCTCAAAAGGGGAAACTGAGGCTGACCCTCACAGATACTCAGTTATAGCAACATGTTCAAGAGCAACATCTTTTCTCTCGAGGGACTTTTCTTCATCAGTATCTTCTGCTGGTATGTAAAAGAATATACACATATAGGGGTCCTCGAGGTGTCTGTGTGACAAAGGCAGTAACTGCTGAGACTTTTGTGTCTGAATGTCTGGTATCTTTGGATGAGGGCTAGGCCACTTTTTCTAGTTCATGTGCATATGAAGCTATTTTCTTGCAAGAACTTCATACGTATGTGTGTTCATATCTCTGTTCGGGGAAATACACATCCTAACTTTTCTATACCCAAAGCCGGGTGTCGGTGGCGCACGCCTTTAATCCCAGCACTCAGGAGGCAGAGACAGGCAGATCTCTGTGAGTTCGAGACCAGCCTGGTCTATAAGAGCTAGTTCCAGGGCAGCCTCCAAAGCCACAGAGAAACCCTGTCTTGAAAAACCAAAAAAAAAAAAAAAAAAAAAAAAAAACCAAAAACAAAAAACAAAGAAAAAAAACACCTTTTCTATACCCAGAAGGGAGAGCTATGTGTTAGCACATGAACATATATGCACGCACCATTACATATGCATCGCACCCTCTGAACACACAGTCCACATTCCCGTCCTGCAGAACTCCACACACATAGTAAATATTTTGATATCGTTTATCTTGGCTTCCGTATGTCTGGCTCAGCTGCCTTTGGTCAGTGTGTAGCTCTGGGCTTCTGCCCATTCTAATGTTGCCCCTGGCATCCCTCCTCATCTCACCCCAAGACTTCAGGGCAGATTCATCTCAGGCACATGGTGGAGGCAACCAGAGATGAGGTCACTGTTCCTCCAGGTGATGGGAAATTGCCACCAAGCCTCCCTGACAAACAAAACAAAGGTTCCCTCTCTCTTGCTCTTTGGGTTCTTATGAAGAGACTCCCACCCTTTTTGCCCCCTATGGCCACACCCCCGGGCCCCCCAGTACTTCTGGCCCCCCAAGCAGAGATTCTTCCCTGGGAATCTCTGTCAGGGCTTTGCTGCTTGCCACCACCAGAAAAACCAGCTCTGGCTCTAGGCCTGGGGTAAGAGCTGTCTGGTGGGAAGCAGTTGGGGGGGGTTGCCGGGGGCTAGGGGGAGGGGTCCAAGCTGTCTAGGGTCTCATTCTTTTTGTTAACTCTTGCCTCCCTTCACCAGCTTCACCAGAGGAGGCTGGCATAGGTGTGTTAGTTTGAGGTAAGGAAGACATGATAGGGAAGCATCTAGACCCCCATCCACCCAGGACAGGTGACATAAACAAAGCAAAACGGGTTTGGTCCTTTCCCTTCCCATAACCTTGGCCTTGGAATTGAGGAACTTTGGAAACCAAAACTTTCCCTCTGCCTTCACCCACCTCCCTCACTTACCCCCCACTTTTCCTAAGCCCCCCAGCTTAATGAGAGCTTCCCAAGCCGGGCAAAGCGCCCACCCACAGATTAATGGAGGGGGGGCACCCAAGTAAGAGGGTAAGAACAATGGGGAGGACGGCCCATGAGGCAGCCGACTCTGCCTTAGACACAGCTCTCAGCACAGATAAGTCCCCTAAACCCCCCGGAGCCAGAGTCTGAGCCCTGCTGAGTCACCACTGTGGGTGGGAGACCTAGAATTCAACTTCTCTCAAACTCCTGAGACCTAACCTCCCCCCAGTTCTGCCTACCCCTCCTCCGTTGTGGCTAGCTCTGCCTCATTTCACATCACAGCTGCAACCTTAGCCTTCAGAGCAGTTTTAGGGAGACCTGCTGGGGTGGCGGTGGCATGGAAGGCCATGGGAACAGCTCCTCAGACCACAGGCACCATGTTGGCGCCTGTTCCAGTGAAAGAATGGAGTGTGATACCTCCATTCCCCTCCGGAAAGCAGGTGGGCGACTTCCCATCTAAAACTTAATTGTTTTACATTCTGTACCCAGATCTAGACCCCAAAGTTCCTCTGCTCTCTGTGATCCATTTTCACTTCCAGCCATTCTCTGCCTCATCTTTTGGATCAGTGTAAGTTTTGGAGACCAGATTATGCAGGTATTCCCTCCTTACAGGGCTTGCTCCCCTCTGGCTGGTACCCATTCACTTTTCTGGAGGACCCCTGGATTCTGAGGTTATGATGCTCTAGAAGATGACACTGAACACACTAAACTCCTCATTGCCCAGCTTCGTGCACCACCACAAAACACTAGGATGGAACCAGGGTCACTGGGGCCAAGGGCTTCCCTGGGATTCTCCTAGTTCTCCACATTTGGGCGGGGAAGCAAGCCTCCCTTTCTGGCTTCTCTGGGTTTGGGGTAGGTCCTACAGGAAAGGGCCTGCCCACCTCTGTCATCAGGATGGGGCCCCTCCCTTTCTAGGAAATTAATCTCAACAGAAAGTTGATCTAACCTTCAGAAGACAGAGTTTAGAACTCACAGAACAGCTTACTCCTAGGTTCTGAAGGACCGGAGGAGTTAGAGACTATTGGAAAGTAGTTTGCAGATTCAGGCCCCTCAGCCCCAGGGCAAAAGATGGGGGAGGGAGGAGGGATGGGACCTCACCCGGAAACTCATCCCATTAAGGAGAAACAAAGAGCTGTGGTGTTGGAGGCGCCTCCCAAGCCTGGGCTCCTCTCCCTGTCAGGGGTGGGGCAGGGCCCTAGGGCTCAGTGTTCTAATGGTCCTGAAGTTGGGGGGCAGGTGTCACTTTGCAATTGTGCCAAGAAGGCTGTGTCCTTGGGTCCTTTCAGCCAGCCACAGGGAAACTGATCAATTCTTCCAACACCACAAAGACCCCACTTCAAGCTGGACAATCACAGTGGCATACTATTTCAGAGTTCAGAAGGTCTGCAGAGACCATCAGTCCTTCTGGGTCTCCTGAAGTACTCTCTCAGCTGTTCAAAATTCCTAACAAATTAATGGAAGAAATGGGATCAGAATTCAAGGCTCCTGATTTCCAAATCTGCGGGGTGCTCAGAGACAAAAATTAGCCTAGGCCCCTAGGGCCACTAGGGAGATGCCTACACATACACAAAGGAGAGCCAGAATGGAGGGGATGGAGCTGTCTAGTTCTTGGGCTGTGATGCTGCAGTCCAAGTGTCCAGGAGTCCCCAGGAATAGCCTTCATCTCTGTGCAGGTCATAGCAGCAGAAGTACAGTGACACCCGATTAGTTACTAGCTTCCGGGGCAATCCTGGAGACAGCCTTTCTCCTTGGCATAGCTTCTCTCAGACCTCTGTGAAGTCTGGGGTCATTTTCTAGCCAGGAGTTCTTTATCTCCTCTCTGGGCTTCTATTAGCAAGAACAGTTTTGCATCATGGAAAAGGAAGGCAGGGATAGTATCCTTACCATTGTCTTGCCAACATCTAGTACCATAAGCACTCAACTATGCTGTTTTTTTTTTTCTTTTTTCAACAAGGAGTCAGGTGACCAAGACACTAACCCTGGTTCTGCTTCTTACACTGAATAATCTTACAGATCTCGCCTGCCTATCTGTTTCTCTCAGTTTTCCCATCTGTAAAATGAACGAGTTGGATCTCTTTGATCCTACCCAAGATCTGAGACAGCATGACTCCAATCTTCAGGTGTGGGTAGATTCTCCAGGAAAGTGTCTGTTGGGTTCCCTGGCCCAGCAGGAGGCCCGCCCTTTCAGTTTAAACAAGTGAAAAGGGCTTTCTGGAAGATGGGAATTAAGAGCAGGGGTTGGGGGTAAGGGGGAAGTGGCAGAGGTTAAAGTTTAGAATCCTGAGATTAGAGAGTGGACCACTGCCCCTTCTGTTACAAGACCAGAGTGAGGACACCCTTGAATGCTGCCAGCCCTGGCATCTACGCCTGGCCTGGTTCGCCTCTTGCTCTTCAGCTGAGATTGGGGGTGGGGAGAGAGAGTCACCCAGCGCTGCTGAACAACTGACAGTCCCTTGCTACTGTTTCTTGGGCTGGGGATCCTACTGTCCTCTGCAGACAGGGCCCTGTCTTTCTAAGAAAGAGTTCTCAGTTCCTCACTCCCCAGTAACAGCCAGTGGCATCTTACTGTGGTCCCATTATGTGCATATTCCCTCCCTCTTGCCCTGAAAAAACGATACATTCCGATGATTTATATGTGCTCTGATATATTAGGCAGGCAGAACGTATACGTATTGTATAGGCATCCTACAGAGGAAATGGAGAGATAATAAATGAATAAAAGTGGGTCATATCCCATCTAGAGGGCCCTTTACCTTCTAGCCTCCCCCTGGTCATGTAAGAAACACATAACACTATTCTCCACCTATTAATATGTGTGCCAGGGAAGGAAAGGGGCTAGGGAGAGAGGAGTTTCCTGGCTTTCCTGTAATCCCTCAAGGAACAGGTCAATCCTGCTGCTCAGAAAATTATCACGAGAGGAGAAGGAGGCAGAAATGCTCACCCACTCTCCAGGCACCAGTTTTCTGCACCTTGTGAACACTGAGGCAGTTCTGAAGCCTAGGCCACAAGGCCTTCAGGGAGCCCTGGGATGAGCAGGGTCCTTGGGTTCCACCTTTGAGCCCACTTGCACTGTATGCGTGAGTGTGTGTGTGTGTGTGTGTGTGTGTGTGCGCGTGCGTGTGCCTGTGTGCGTGCGCGTGAAGCAAAGCTTAGCAGAGGTAGTTAGGGACTGCAGACATTAGGGACTTGGCCTTGGGGCAGAGAGGGGACTTGAGAAGAAAACGACATTGGTTCTTCTGAGGGCACTGATGGCAAGTGGAATGAACAGAGTCCAAGGAAAGAGAACTTTTGCTTATGTGCTGAGTTCGTGTGTGAGTTTGCACGCGCGTGTGTATGCGTGTGTGTGTGCGCGCGCGTGCGCGTGCGCGCTCCTGTCTCTGCTAGGTAGGGCTCAGAAGCAAGAGTCCTGATGGTTCAGGCAAGTCCTACCTGTAAGCGATGCCAGGAACAGCAGCAGCAGCAGCCAGGCTTCAGGGCCCCACATCTCGGCTCCCAGGGACAGGGGCATTGGCTGAAAGGCAGACCTCCCCAGTGACTTTGAAGTTCCACCGAGTTCTCCCTGGGAGCCGGTTCTGGAGCTGGGTAAAGCTCTGACCCAGAAGGCAGGAAGTCACGGAGTCCCCAGGCACTAACGTACCTGTCCCACTTGGGTCTCCACTAGGGGACCCAGGCCCCAGTTCTACCCACCCAGCCGTGGCTACCCCCAAGAAGCCGTGATCGGGAGCCCTGAGCTCCCCCAGCTCTGCTTCCCACGCCGTGGCCAACAACGAAGGCAGAAACCTGGGAACCTGCTAAGCAGGTCAGAACAGGTGCGTCTCCGGGGGCCGGGCCTGGCACAGAGAGGAGACTCCGCAGCCACCGCCCCCACGGCCTGTGCTAGCTAATGGGCGCCAGGGAGGGAGGGAAGAAGGGAAGGATCTGGGTGGGGGCAGTGGGATCTCATCAGCAACAGGGGCTTTACCTGTGAGGGTATTGACGGGTCTATGACACGGAACCACTAGTAGGGGTGTGGTACAAGGAAGCCAGGGTGTCTTAGAGAGGGAAGCGCCAGACGTGTGAGAAAAGGAACGAACCCCTCTCATATGTCAGCCAGGTCAGCTGTTTTCTGGGGTCCTTGACAAGTTCCTCAAACTCGCAAAGGGCTCCGCTTTGGTGCCACAGAATCAGAGGAGAGCTGAAGAGGTCCCTACCTGGCAGAGGCAATGCTAGATGATGTAGTCAAGTTAGCTTAGTGGTTTTCTGGAAGCAGAAAACTAGTTCAGAGACCCCCTGAAAAGAGCTTTCCTCTGGTCCATCCCTGCATGGGAGAGGCGAAGGGACTGGCAGGGAATTGGCCCTGTGGATTCCTGGTTTTCCTCTCGGGAACTCCGTCTCCACAACTTGACTCCTGACCAGGAGTTTTAATAGTGCATTAGCAGAGCCTGAGGTGGGTCGTGGGGGACGATGAGCCTAGACTCTGCAAGGATGGTACTAATTTCACGCTATCCTTGCACCCCTATGACACATACTCATCTGATCACATAGTTCTAAGGGACAGCTGGGGAGTCAAAAGAAGGGGTACCTACACATCAAGCCCCTGAAAGACAGAGGCAGACATTTCAAAGGCAGGTAAAAGCCAGACATGCTGGTGCCTATCTGTGGTCCCAGCCCTGGGGAGGTGAAGGCAGGAGCATCAAGATTTCTAAGACAGTTTAGGCTACGTAGAAATCTGGGTTATCCTGGGCTATATGAGGATCTACCTCAAACAGCAACAACAACTTTTCAAAGGCACATACATGCGGAGATACCCCGGGGAAAGAAACTATAGAGATTACATGGGGGGATTATCAATGTCTTCCATTTTCCATCTCTATGCCACCAGCTCTACCTGTTCAGGATTTTTGTTTGTTTGCTATTTGTTTTTTTTAGGTGGAGGCCTAAAGCCAGCACTATGTGCTTACAAGCTCTCTGCCCACTGAGCCTCTTCCGCAGTCCCCTTACCTGTCCATCTTGCTCATCTCTCAAAACGGACCTCAAAGTCCACATCTCCAAAGTCCACATCTCCAAAGTCCACATCTCCCAGCCTTCTCAGCTCCTCCCACTTGAAATTAACCTTTCTCCTCTTCTTCCTCCGTTCTTGACAGTTTCTTTATTATAGCTTGTGCACTCGTAATTTGTGCACATCTTATCTCCTTAACTAAATTGTAAGCTTTGATTCAAGAGCCATTGATTGAGGCCTTTTGCATGATAGAGACTCTGTAGGCTTGTTAAGCTGAGGGAAAGGACAGCAGCTGTCCGCTGTGAAGTACTTGAAAGTTGGGCTTGTTTTATAATTTTGCCCAATCAACCATGCTAGGGCAGTTCACAATCCCTAATGGGAACTGAGTGCATTTTTGTTTTGTTTTGTTTTGTTTTTGAAGCCCTGCCTTTCTGAATCAACCAGTGTCAGTATGGAGAAGATGGGGAGGAAGGGTCAGGTCGGTAGGCGGAGATCTCAAATGATCATGTTACCATCCTGAACCTGGGTTGCAATCTGGCCTCTAACACGGCCCATAGAGCAGCAGACCCCTCTCTGGACACCACCTCTCAGCAGTGATTGTGATAGTGACCTCTTCCTCAAGGGCTATTTCCTGGGTCAGGCAGATTCATGGTTCAGGCTAGATGCCAAATCTCCTTAATTTCTCTCCACCTCCGCCTTGGCAAACCCCTTCCCCTCTTCAGGACTCAGGTCCCCACCTATGCCAGGGGAACAGCCCCACCCCGATGCTGCTTTGAGATCCAGTGTGGCTGGGGTGGGGTAGGGCCAGGGGGGTGGGAGGGGGAGTATCCTGTGTTATAATTATAATTATCACACTTTGGATCCTATCACATGCTTTCAGCGGAGCTCTTTGCTTCCCACGGATTCAGCCCTCTAGGTACAGGAAACCACAGGAGAAACTGAGGCATGGGGGTGAGAAAGCAGCTAGATCACAAATTCAGTATCCAGTCTGCTTTGGCATTTTCATTCAAAGTGCTACCAGGCAGAATATCTCTGAGCCCCTGGATGGTGGGACCCTAAACCACTTGTAGGGAACCCTGAAAGGGAACAGAATTTCTCTGAGGGGGAATTAGGTAATGAACACACTCACATCTTTATGGATATGGTCAGGCCCTGGTAAAGAACCTTAAAATGGGGGTTGCAGGTGCAACTGGCCAGAAAGAAGAAGGCAGCATTCACACCTGTAAGTGAGTTAGGGATTTTTCTTTCCTCATCTAATAAATATTCATCTTCAAGTCCTCTCTTTTCCCTCAGTCCCTTAGTCCTATAAAGTCTCATGTGAACCACACTCCTGAGGAATATGCTTTATACTCAGGCCCTTTCTATCCGCTTCTGAGATGAATCCCAGGGAAGTCATATTTCAGGTCAAGGGCAATTCTAAAATAATGGTTATGAAGGCCTTTCAAGGGCGATGCCTATATTCAGAGCTCAATTCTTTCTTCAACACTGACTCCCCATTCCCCTCATGCCTCACAACCTACCCTCCTCCCACTTCCACTCTGAGCTCTGAGAATGGGGACAATTCAAGTTGTGATAGATGGCACCCTTAGCATATGCATCTGTCTGTGGGGTGTCACTGGGCATGACGGCACGTGCACACTCACTCAGCAGAAAATCACTGTGTCAGGCTCAAGGGAGGCGACAGAGATACAGGACACATGATCCTTGCCCTGAAGGGCCCCTCAGTCAGGAGAAGACAGATACATATGTATGTATGTATGTATGTATGTATGTATGTATGTATATATGCAACAAATTATATCTCACCAGCACGCATTTCCTGTGTGTCTGTGTGTCACTAATACACAGGAGGCTGCCTCTGTCCACATCCATGTGGGTATTATCTGCATGTGTCCAAGCATCCACTTAAACTGGTCTCAGTCCCCATGGAAGGCTGCACACCTAAGCCAAACCGGTTGGAGAGGGTTATGCTGAAATTTCTGTTTGTGACAATGGGACCTGAGGTGAGTCAGGGAGGGACAAGGCCGGGTGGAGTGGTGTGGGGGAAGAACAGTGAGAGTGAGGGTCAGATTGAGCGATCAGAGGGAGGGAGGGGCCACAGTGGGAAGGGGTGGGTGGGGTGCCAGGAGAATGGGCCTGGGGTAGGAGGAAATGAGACAGCTCTTCAGTGACTGATAGCCTGTTTGTCTGCAGTGAGATTCCAGGTCAGAGAACAGACATGAGCTTGAAGAGAAACCCTGGTGTTGGGAGAGGAGGGTGAATAATAAATCAGAACGCAACTGGGCAGAAGCTTGGGTGTGGATGAAATGTTGTCGCCGTTTCTGCGTGGCTTTGATAAGCTGTCCCTCATTTATTCATTCTCCGGCTTCCTGCAGCGTTTCAACAGAAAGCCGCGGGTGCTGACTGGCATAGTAGAAGAATTCTGATCGTTGGACTTGATTCTATCCCCGGGACTGAGGCTACAGCGGGTGGCTTCACACTCACTTCTACTGCTCCTCCATAGGATGCTTCTCCACTTCCGGAGATTTAGAGACATTCCCCCTGTCCCCCAATACATAACACAGGGCCTCCAGGAGCCCTTCCTACATTGAAAATGCCTTTGCTCCCCCACCCCCAGCTTAAAACCTCAGTGTGCTCAACATTGGAATGGTGGCATCTGTTTTCCAAGCTATTCCATCTAAATGTTGATATGTGCTGGGCTGTTCTTATCTGCCAATCATGCAGTCTCGATACTAGGCTCATCTCTGAATGACGACCGCACTTCCTGGTTGCCTAACAACATCGCTCCAGCTCAGGGGGCTGGGCCTACTCGTTCCTCAAGGGCTCTAAAGCTGGGGTAAGCCACCCAGGAAAAGAGAGGGTTGAACACAAGGCATATCTGGGTCCTGTTTCTCAACAGAGCGGGTTGAATGCAGAGCCCTCCTCTTTGCTCTGGCTCAGCTCTTATAAACACACTTCCGCAACATCAGGGGCAAGAGCACGGGTTAAGGGACAAAAGCCTTTATTATTTTACCCCGTGTTTATGGATGGGCTGCCACTTTTAGAAGGCTGTTGGATTGTTGGATAGGCCCTGGCTGGCACTGGATGAGAATAGGAACGCTCATGGAAATTGGGCTTCTGAGTGGTGACAATAGCAGCAGATGTAAGGGCTGGGTAAGGGCGGGGTGGGGGTGGGGAGGGTGTTAAGGAAGCCAGAGCCAAGGGAAGAGGGAAGCCTGAGAATTTCGTGAGAAAACGGATTCCAGCAAGGACCTTGGCTGTGTTCTCTCTGTCTCCACTATCCATCATAGAAAGAGCTAGTTTCCGCCTGGGGAGCGCACTGTGTACGGAGGCAGACCCCAGAGGTGAGTCTAGTCTTCCTTCCAGGTTTACCTTGAGGTCTTCCTGAGCTGGTTTCTCCTTCATTTCCAGAAGCAGCAAAAAGCATAAAAGGGTTAGGCATCAAGAATGCCCACTGCCACTGATAACTAGCAAGGTCAGCAGCATCCATCCGTCTAGGAGCTGTAAGAAAGGGTAGAGGAGCAAGGTCTGGCATCTAGCCTCCCTTGCCAGTGCTTCCCTCCCTGCAGCTAGGCTTACACTCTGGGCTCTTCTCTGGCGAGACTGTATGCCTGGAAAGTCCTACGGGTGCTCACTCAGGTCTCAGCGATCACCAAGGTCTTTTTTTTTTTTTTTTTTTTTTTTTTTGGTTTTTCGAGACAGGGTTTCTCTGTGGCTTTGGAGGCTGTCCTGGAACTCGCTTGGTAGTCCAGGCTGGCCTCGAACTCACAGAGATCCTCCTGCCTCTGCCTCCCGAGTGCTGGGATTAAAGGCGTGCGCCACCAACGCCCGGCCACCAAGGTCTTAAGACTGTGCCGAGGGGTTCCACACTGTGGTGTAGTTCTAAGATGCAGCTAAAGGGAATATGTCTAGTCATTCCTGGGGAAGTCAGGCAGTGGCTCCATTCGACAGAGAGGAAAAGGCAGAATCCTAAAAGGAAATCAAGTGAAAACAGAGACAGATGCACAGTAGCAGAAAAAAGTTAGCACTGGGAAGAAAGAGAAAGTAAACAGGCCTTGGATCTGGCATACCCAGGAGGCTGGGGCATTTTTCAGTGAAGGGAAGTCTTCTGCAGGGCCCATGTTCTATATGGGAGTCCCAAACTCAAGCTGTTTCAAAACATTTTTTTTTGAGGGTTGACAAAGGCCAGGAATGGTAGCACATATCTGTAATTGTAGCAAAGGCATGGGGAATGTCCTAAGTTCAAGGCCACCCTGATCTACACAATGAGTTTCCAGCCAACCAGAGTTACATAGCAAGAACCTCTCAAATATGTGTGTGTGTGTGTGTGTGTGTGTGTGTGTGTGTATGTAGGGGGGTGTGCAGTTCCCAGCAATGGAGCTCAAGAGTTAGAGTGCCTGTCTAGGACCTAGAGTCCATTCCTAGGTTTTGGTTTGGGCTTATAAGACAGAGTTTCTTTGTGTAGCCTTGGCTGTCCTAGGATTAGTGGCAGGTCTCTTTATTTAATGAGCCATCTTGCCAGCTCCCCAAAAAAGAATTTTAAAAGCAAAAGCCACGCCTTTAATCCCAGCACTCTAGAGGCAGACGCAGGCGGATCTCTGACTTTGAGGTCAGCCTGGTCTACAAATCAAGTTCCAGGATGACTAGGGCTGGGCTGCACAGGAAAACCCTGTCTCAAAAAACAGAAAAGCAGAAGACAATCACTAAAGAATGGAAATTACGTTTTTTCATTGTGAGGGTTGGAGGTGGGGTGGGTGGAGATGGTTCATACAATGGCCCTCATTGGAGCTCAGAGGACAGCTTGCAGAAGTCAGTTCTCTCCTTCTGTCGTGCGGGATGGGAGCATCAAACAGCTCATCAGGCTCAGCTGCAAACAAACACCTTTCCCTGGTGAGCTATCCATCTTACCAGCTCCTAGAGAGGAAATTCAGAAACAAGATCTGAATGAGAGAAAGCCATTAAGAGAAAATTCTGGATGCCGACTGCCCACTGGTGGGATGTATTAATTAGCCACTCACAATGTTTGCTGTCAGTTCCCATATTCAGGGGCTGGTGATGCTCTCCTGTTAGACATTGCTTTCCTCAAGAACACAAGTCCCTTCTCGTAGCCCCTTTATCATTATTCTCTAACTTGCCTGATCCCCACTCTTCTCCATCCTAAATGTGCTTACAATTTTATCTTTCTTTCAGATAGTTCCTTTGTTTGTTTTTCAGAACAGTGTTTCTCTCTGTAACCCTGGCTCTCCTGGAACTCACTCTGTAGACCAGGCTGGCCTCAGAGACCCATCTGCCTCTGCCAACCAAGCGCTGGGATTAAAGGTATGGGCCACTACTGTCTGGCTTCTCTCAGATACTTTCTAGATCATGTCCCATCAAAGGAGCTCTCAAGCTCTGGCCTCACGAAATTTATTTTCTTGGCTACCCCTGTGATCTCGCTTGTTCATGTCTTCTTTGTCTTTGTGCTAGGAACACAGCTTGGTGCCAGGCTAGCTTGAGGTCATTGAGGTCAAGTGTCCAGAATGGGCTGCAGGAAATACGTAGACAGACCAGGGACAATAGAGGACAGCTAGAGAGAGGGGCTGACAGGTGAGGCGGCCTAGAGGACACTGGGGGAGTCCTGGGAGTGTGACAGAGACTCCCTGGTCTGAGTGTTGACTTTTTGCGTGCACTGAACATTCCCAAGGACCAGAAATGACTCAAGGGTCAGAAAATGACTCAGGGCCAGACATGGAGGTACATGCCTGTAATCCTAACAGTCAGGAGGCTAAGGAAGGATTGTTGTGAGTTTAAGGTCTGCCTGGGGTACCAAGCAATGTGCTGTCTCAAAAGAGAAAAGAGCATGGGAAAGAGGCAAAGAGAAGATTTAAGTCAAGGCTTCGGTTTAGCGCTGGGACAGACATCTCGGCCTGGACAGCATAGGCCACCTCAAGCGCCATGGCCGGTCCCCGTCACACAAATGTAGACTAGCTGTGCCCACTTCCTCCTGTCAGCCCTCTGCTTTCCTGCCTTCTTTCCTGCTTCCTTGGTTGGTTTAGAATAATCAGGAGAAATGGAAATCCTACACAATGCCTCTCTTGGGTCTAGAGTTATTACAGAACTGTAGTGCAAACAGCTCAAGTGTGTGTGAGGCTTAGGCTACATAGCCAGGTTCGATGCAAAGCACTCGGCATTAGAGTCCAAGCTAGAAGAAAAAGAAACAAAGCAGGGAGAAACTGGAAAGGCCCCTGGGATGGGGAGTTACTATTTCTCATAAGGAAAGGCAGAAAACCAGCTCAGCTAAAAACAGGCAAAAACAAGATCCTAAAATGAATAGCAGACCGATGAGGTTTAAGTAAAAACGATCCTAACCACTCTCATCAGCGCCTCATCGAATCCAAGGAGTGTGTGGGATCCACGCCCTGCTGTTGGGAAGTGAGGCAGTGAGAAGTCTTAGGAAGGTTAGTTCTCAACTACAGATACAAGAAGTGTCTTTATTTAACTTTTTGTTTATTTGTTTTTCGAGACAGGGTTTCTCTGTATTGTTTTGGAGTCTGTCCTGGAACTCGCTCTGTAGACCAGGCTGGCCTCGAACTCACAGAGATCCACTTGCCTCAGCCTCCTGTGTGTTGGGATTAAAGGCGTTCGCCACCAATACCCAGCTTATTTAACTTTTTTTTTAAAGCTAGGACCTTTCCCTGTAGTCTTGATTAGCTTCGTTCTGTGTAGCTTGGGCTAGCCATCCTTCTACATCAGCTTCCCAAGCACTGAAATCAAAGGTGCCATGTATTCATGTGTGGGTGCCAGAGGACAATCTCAGGTGCTATTTCTTTTTTTTAAGATGTATTTATTTATTACAAACAACACCCTGCCCCCATGTACGTCTACACATCAGAAGAGGGCATCAGATCTCATTACAGATGGTTGTGAGCCACAATGTGGTTGCTGGGAATTGAACTCATGACCTCTGGAAGAGCATTCACTGCTCTTAACCTCTGAGCCATCTCTCCAGCCCCCATCAGGTGCTATTTCTTGGATGCTGTCCACTAGTATTTTGAGACAGATCTCTGACTGACCTGGAGCTCACCTACCAAGCCCTAGGGATCCACCGTCTCTGCCTGCCAGCCCTGGGATGCTCTGCCCAGGTATTTTCATGAGGGTTCTGATGAGGAAACTCGGGTCCTGGGACTTGCATCGCTGAGATATCTCTCTCTAGCTTTTGATGTTTGTTTTAGAAGAGAATTTTACTGTAACCTTGGAAAACCGAGGCTCTGACTTGTCAAATATGGGAAATGATAATTGGATGGGTAAAGACATGAAACTGTTGTTGAATTTCAGCTTAGCACACAGGTGGGAACAGGCCTGGTGGGCAGGCCTGTAATCTTAGCTATTCAGGAGGCTGAGGCAAAGATTACCTGAGCTACAAAATGAGTTCAAGGCCGTCCTGGGAAACTTATCAGGACCCTAACTCAAAGTTAAAAAAAAAAAAGGTTGGAGATACATCGAAGTAGTGGAGTGTTTGCCTAGCAACACACTAGGTTTGATGCTTAGTACCACACATTTTAAAAAAGGGAGGGAGGAAGAAACCAGCAATGTAGTCAGTCCACGACTGTGCCTTCCTGTGCCCGCGCCCCGCCCCCCCGTACTTTTCTCTCGAGATCTAATTGGGATGAAGGGCAGATGCCCAGTGTGCTCCTGGTCCCCTGGGTCACATGGCCACCCATTCCCACTGAAATCTTGGACACTATCTGTGGGGGAGCAAGCTCATGTTTGGAAACCAAAGGTCAAAGACACAGCTGTCTTTCCCACATAAAGCCCAGCCTGAGGGACACACACGTTTCTGCTCCTCCCCAGCTGGGCTAGGATTAGAAATCTACAGCTGAAACCAGTCAGCCTTGATCTGGGCCTCTTCAATCTGCACTGGGTCCTGTGGGGACAGCGTTAATGCCTTCAGTAACTCGGCTGGAATAAGAGAAAAGGGCAGGGAGGGGTAGGAGTGGGTCTCCTCCTCGTCTCACCCCCACCCACAGGACACTATCAGGAGAAACTCCCTGCCCTACCTTAATCCTGAGTCTCACAGTGCCTCGCTCTGCACGTGTCATATGATTCTAAAGAGACGAGGAGAAATAATCATTCTTCCCAGGACTCAGTAGTGAAAAGTCGCCCGAGATATGCCTAAGCTATTTTTCCTCCCCCACTTCACGCACTCCAACCCATCTCCTCCTCCCCCACGTCTCTTTTCTTTCCACGGCCACCCATCACTACCTTTCCGGCCCCACCTTTTCTCCTGCCTCTTCTCTCGGAGACTTGACTCTACTGCCCTCTAGTGGCCAGAGGTGAAGAGACAGTTACATAAATGGGAACGCTGGAGGAAGTCTACCCAAATCTCTGACCCCCAAGCCACTTAGTCCACGTTCATTCCCTCAACCTCTGACCTGTGACTTCTTTCTTACCTCATCTCTACAGGGCGCCATGGTCTGCCTCCACAACATCTGCACCCTCCCCCCCAAGTGTCACAATCACAAACTCATTTACCACTATTAGGTTTGTCTTTTTCTTTCTTTTTTGGTTTTTCCGATTTCTCTGTGACTTTGGAGGCTGTCCTGGAACTTGCTCTTGTAGACCAGGCTGATCTCGAATTCACAGAGATCCACCTGCCTCTGCCTCTGCCTCTGTGCTGTGATTAAGGGCGTGAGCCACCACCGCCCTTCAAGGAAACTGTCAGCTCCCAGCCTTTTAGGATATTTACTGGCTTTCCCCACATCTCGTTGCCCTGGCAACATCACTGCAAGATCGCGGTAGCGAACCAGGTCTCCTGTTTCCACGGTAACAGGCGCTTTGCGACTTCCTGTTTGCAGCGGTCGCACTGCACGCCCCGCAGTGGTTGCTGGGCGACAGCAGTAGAGAGAAGGGATATCTTGAGTAAGGACCTGGTGTGGTCTTGGAGGAGAAGCTAGCCCATGCCTGGAGGAAGTGCCGGGCCCCGCGTGAAGGGGTGTAGTCTAAAGCGACCCAACTGCTCTCCCCTCTGCTGGGCCTATGGCTGGGGCGGAGTCTCCGGGTCGAGTCAGGGGCTCGGCCTGGACGTGGCGGCCAGTGGCACGGGACGCGCTTCTGGCTCGTGCCTTCCATTCATGCACCGAACTGCAGGGACGGTTCTATCTGGTAGGGGGTCTCCTAGAAGGTGGTGCAAGAATGCCCAGCAGCGATACTGTAATCTTTGACCCAACTAGGGGCCAAGCGGTACAACTGCCAGCCCAGGGTCCCCTTCGCAGTCACCACGACGCGGCACTGGTGGGAGGCCGTTGGTTATGCGTGGTGGGTGGCTGGGACGGGTCACGTCGCTTAGCCACGGTGTCCGTTCTGGACACGGAGAGCGGCGTTTGGGAGGTATGGAAAGCGAACCCTAGCAGCTGCCCTCCTGCTGGCCTCAGCAGTCACACCTGCACTCGCCTGTCAGACCGAGAGCTGCGAGTGTCCGGCAGAGAGGGTGGTACCCGCACCCAGCGACGCTATGGAAGCATCTACACGTTAAAGTTGGACCACAGCACCCGAACTTACTGGTACAGCAACCTTTGTCCCAAACGTTTGTTTTCTCTATACCCCACAAAGACAAAATTTAAAAAAACGTACTGGTAATTGATTCTTGCCCTCCCCCAGCACCTCCCATCTTGGAATCTACCATTTCCAAGATGACTTAAAGCTGTCTGCTCCAAGCCTGACTTTTCTCTCCCACAAGGGCACTCTGGCAAAGCTGGAAAACATTCGAATCGTTTCAGAAAACCCAACTTAGGCCTGAATTTCTGTGTGCCAACAGCTACAAGGAAGAAGGCTACCACACGGTCTCACGATCGGGTCACTCTGCTGCCCTGCTGCCAACTACTGGACCCCACCCGGGTCATCAGCTATTGCTCTTTGGGGGCTGCAACTCTGTTGAACCCGAAGTAGCAGGGCAATGGAGCCATGGGAAAATTAAGGTATTCACCATTTCAGAGTAGAAAGGGACTAAGTGAGATGAGCAAACCCTTCAAACAATCCCCTTTTCTCCCCAAAGGAGGAAACCCCTGTCGCCCCTCGTTTGGTGGAACAGCTTGCAAGGCTTGTGAGCAGTGGGCAGGGGTTGCAGCAGGGACCCCAGAGCCTGCGACATCATTCCTGTTCGGTGGTGGGACCTTTTGCTGTTCTGTTTGGTGGTGAGACTCTGACCAGAGCTAGAGACACAATCTGCAATGACCTCTACATCTATGACACCCGTGAGAGCCACACTAATGTTTGGAGGAAGGGAGGATGGAGAGGTGGAGGACAAATTAGCTGACAAGAGTTAAAGAAATGCAGACTGGGTGTGGTGGTGTATGCAGGAGAAGCAGAGGCAGGAGGGTTTCTGAATTCTACACAGTGAGTTCCAAGGACAGCCAGAGCTACAGAGACCCTGTCTAAAACAAGAAAAAGAAGATCAGAAAGATAGCTCAGGACCCAAGCCATCAAACAAAATATACAGAGCCAGGTATGGTGGCTGTCACCTTTTACCTCGGCACTTAGGAGGCAGAAGTCAGGCAGATCTATGTAGTTCAAAGCCAGCTTGGGCCAGGCAGTGGTATCTTATGCCTTTAGTCCCAGCACTTGGGAGGCAGAGGCAGGTGAGTTCAAGACCAGCCTTGGTCTACAAGAGCTAGTTTCAGGACAGGTTCCAAAGCTATAAAAGGAAACCTTGTCTCCAAGAGGAGGAAAAAAAAAAAAAAAAAAAGGCAAGCCAGCCGGTCTATAAAGTGTTGTGGCAAGGATGTTACATTTGTTTATGCTGCTCAACAATGTAAAGATGTGTTGCTTTGTGTATGATACCTGATTGGTCAATAAAAAGCTGAATGGCCAATAGTTAGACAAAGGAGGGATGGGTGGGGGCTGGTGGCAGAGAGTAAATAGGAAGCTAGGGTAGAGGGGAAGAAAATGAGGGGAGACAGAGGGAGATGCCTGGGGCCAACCAAGCAGCTGCCAGCCAGACACCGAGCAGGACATACATAACGAAAGGAAACCCCCAGGGAAATACAGGTGAAGAGAGACAGGTTAATAGTTTATAAGAACCAGCCGGGCATTGGCGACGCACGCCTTTAATCCCAGCACTCGGGAGGCAGAGGCAGGTGGATCTCTGTGAGTTCAAGGCCAGCCTGGTCTACAGAGCGAGTTCCAGGACAGCCTGGAACAAAACAATACAGAGAAACCCTGTCTAGGAAAAAAAACAAAAAAGTTATAAGAACTAACGAGACAAGCATAAGATAAGGCCGAGCATTCATAACCAATAATTCTCCATGTTTTTATTTGAGAGCTAGTTGGTGGCCCAAAAGAAAGCCTGTTCCAATATAGTGAGTTCCAGGTCAGCCAGGGCTACACAGAGAAACCTTGTCTTGAAAACAAACAAAAAACAGAACCAAGCATGGTGGTTCACACCTTTAATCCCAGCACTTGGGAGGCAGAAGCAGGCAGATCTCTGGGAGTCTCCAGCCTGGTCTACATAGAGTTTGAGACCAGCCAGGGTAAACATAGCGAGACACTGTTTCAAGAAACAAAAAATAAAATAGACAGCATACACAGAATATTTGAAAAGGTCAACAAATCAAAGGAGGAGAAAAAGAACAGGCAAGCATTTGACGTGTTGAAGCGAACGAAGTGTACCCTCTAATAACCACCCTCTGCTCTCCACCCAACAGGCACATCCCCACCCCAATGGTTCCACTTCCCCTGCCCAGACCGTGGACTGAAGCGTGTGGGCCATCGCACTTGCCTTTGGAACGACCAGCTTTACTTGGTTGGGGGTTTTGGTGAGGACGGCAGGACAGCTAGCCCACAGGTTTGCATCCTGGAACTCTTTGTCTAAAGAACAGCAGAAAGGCACATGGCCAAGCCTCTGTGTTGGCAAAGCCACACGGAGTTCTCATCAGAGCTACTGCCCCACTTCAAATACTTATTAAATTCCAATCTGAGAATCAACATTTGATCTCTGAATCCTTTTTAGGAGGGCACTTAATAAGTAGACATCTTTACTTGCAAGAGAAAGGCCAAAATATAAGAGAAAGGCCTTTCTGATACTGGCAGCCATTGACCTGGCAGAAACAAAACCTGCAAATCACATACTATCTTCTTGTTTTGTTTGAAACATGGACTCACTATACGTAGTCTTGGATAGCCTGAGACTCCTTATGTAGATCAGGCTGGCCTGGAACTCAGATCTGCCTCCTGTTGTATCCCAAGCACTAAATATAGGGCACATGGGCCACCATGCCCAGCTTATGCTATCTTTTGCCCTTAATGTGGCTGGCCCTAAAGAAGAGGAAGTTTCAGGCTACCACTAAGCATTCTGACTAAAACTTTTTTTTATTTTTTTGGTTTTTTTTCGAGACAGGGTTTCTCTGTATTGTTTTGGAGGCTGTCCTGGAACTCGCTCTGTAGACCAGGCTGGTCTCGAACTCACAGAGATCCACCTACCTCTGCCTCCCGAATGCTGGGATTAAAGGCGCGTGCCAACCCTCCCCCCCCCCCTGACTAAAACATTTAATTAACAAAAAAATATTACAATAGCAGAGACAATAATAATAATAATAACAACAATAAAAAGAAATTAGAGGTGGGAATCAGGGAAAAAATGCAGAGACTTTAGTTCCTAGGAGACCAGCACTCCTGCTGAGCCGGACTTCGCCCCAGCCCCTTCTGAGTTTTCCTTGGCTGCTGGCTTCTCATCTTCCCCCATAAGACGAATGTTGTGCTTTTCCCGAAATTCATTGAGTTCTTTCCCCTTTGCCTGAAGCTGCTGTGACAGTGTCTCAATGATCTTCTGTATCTAGAAGGTAAGGAAAAGAGGTTATAGAAGGATTGCACGTCTCCCTACCCGACCTAGAATGGACGATGATCAGAGGAAGTGAAACAAGGTAATACTCAGCCTTACCTTTACCCAAGAGTTAACAAAGCCCAGACTCTCAAGAGATTTCTCAAACACAGTATCTTATACAAGGGAATCACCTGAGCTACTTTTGTTATTTATTCTTTGACAATTTCATAAATGTATATAATATATTCTAACCACACTGTTTTATCCACCTCTCCCATGAGTCCCCCATCTCATAATCATATCTCTGCTTTGTTTTGTAACTGATTGTGTTTAACCAGAACCATCCTTGTGGGCATGGGTCTGAGCTGTCCATCAGAGCAACTTACCAGGGCCTGCATCACTGAAGACAATGACAACCCCCCAACCTTTAATTGTCAACAGCTCCCCAGGGAGAGTGAGCTGCTTATTTTTAAAATATCATTTATTCATTATACTATGGTTTCTTCTCTTAGGTTACATTTTTTAAAACATGGATTTATAGCTAGCTGGAGTTGGCTTCAAACCCAAGATTCCCTTGACTCATCATAGCAATCACCAATGTATGCCACCCCAGTCAGTATACTCCTTCTCCTTTTAAAATGTCTCTCATGGTATCTTTAAGGGTCTGGTTCAGTTATCCAAAGAGAGCCTAAGAAGTTGCATTTTAAACTGATTCTTGGTATAGCTCAGTGGCAGAGTTCTTGGCCCATTATGCATAAGGCCCTGAATTTGATCTGCAGCACTGTTAAACAAGTTCTTCAGGTGATTTTGGTTCTGGTATCCATGGACTACACTGTGAGAAACATTGTTCTACCCATCCTCCTCCTAGCTCAACCACATCAAAGAGACTATGGAAAGGGCACACAGCCAACAACTCGTCATGTAAGGAGTTGGGACTCTGCAATTGTACAGAGCGCACAGACTAACAGACTGTATACTATCTTCAACAGGAATTTCTGCCTGGACTTTCCTCCCTCACATCCCCTAAGTCCCTGGTCACCCGTTTAAGCTCTTGGTTACGCAAACACCTACTTGGGCATCCTTGCTCACCTGCTCTTTGTTACCCTCCAAGGCAGGCAGCACCTCTTTGACAGTCCGTTCTACCAGCACACCTCCAACCATTCGGAAGCACTTGCGGGTCTCATCCACTTCCTTCAGGGTATCAATCACTAGGCTAGGGGAGGAGAACAAGACCTCAAATTCCAGCACCCTCCCTCAAAGAGGCCCATCCAACTGTTCTGCTGTTTCTCTGACTGTCTTACCTGTGTTCGTTCAATTCCATCTCCAGCTCAGCAGCTTTGGATGCCAAGCCCCTCTGTTCCTGCCGAAGGCGATTAAAGCCAGCAATTACCTAAGAGCACGAGAGAGCAAAATGAGAGATGAGACAGTAAAAATGCCAGAAAGGCAAGGCAGCCCACAGGACAGCAAGTTTTACACAGTTGCAGTAGTGAATACCTATCTTAGGGAAGGAATAGAATACAAGTTTGCAATTGCTTAGTCTGTGAAATCCCTTTCCCAGTAGGCATTTACTCAGTGCCTATGTGTGAGACATTTGCTAGGTATGAAGACATTTAACAATAGATCTGAATAGGGGGGTGGGGTGGGGTGGGTGCTGCTGGAATACCTACAAGAGACTGAGTCATCTTGCCAGTTTCCACCCACCCCCAAGATGTTTTTATTTTTAACTATATGGATATGTGTGTGTGTACGCACACAGAGACCAGAAGACGGGGTTGGATTCTGAGGAATTGGAGTTGCAGGCCTGATATGGGTGCTGGGAATCAAACCTGGGTCCTCTACAAGAACAGTATGTACTCTTTATTTTTTTTTAAGATTTATTTATTTATTACATATACAATGTTCTGCCTACGTACCAGAAGAGGACACCAGATTGAATTGTAGATGGTTGTGAGCCACCATGTGGTTGCTGGGAATTGAACTCAGAGCAGTCAGCGCTCTTAACCTCTAAGCCATCTCTCCAGCCCCCCCGAACAGTATGTACTCTTAAGCACCAAGTCATCTTTTCAATCTTTGCCCTCTTTTTTTTTTTTCTGAGACAGGGTTTCTCTGTAGCTTTGGAGGCTGTCCTGGAACTAGCTCTTGTATACCAGGCTGGTCTCGAACTCAGAGATCCACCTGCCTCTGCCTCCCAAGTGCTGGAATTAAAGGCATGGGCCACCACCACCCAGCTTATCCATGCCTTTTTTGTTTTGTTTTGTTTTTTCGAGACAGGGTTTCTCTGTGGCTTTGGAGGCTGTCCTGGAACTAGCTCTTATAGACCAGGCTGGTCTTGAACTCACAGAGATCTGCCTGCCTCTGCCTCCCGAGTGCTGGGATTAAAGGCGTGCGCCACCAATGCCCGGCTCATCCATGCCCTTTTTTAAGACTTAAAAGTTTTACTTTTGGGCTTGAGAGATGGTTCAGCAGTTAAGAGCATGGTCTGCCCTTCTAGAGGTCCTGAGTTCAATTCCCAGCAACCATATGGTGGCTCACAACCATCTACAGTGGGATCAGATGCCCTCTTCTGCCATAAAGGCAATAGAGCACTCAAGATACATAAAATAAATAAATCTTGAAAAAGAAAGTTTTACTTTTATATGTATGTGTGTGCGCCTGTATGTGTACACGTAGGGAGCCAGAAGAGGGTGCCAGATTCACGTGGAGCTACAGTTCCAGGTAGACATGAGCTTCTGGGTGTGGGCACTGAACTCCGGAAAGAAAGGACAACTCCGGGAGGTCCATTCTCTCCTCCAACTGCGAGTTCCAGGGACCAAACCCCAGTGGCCAGGGTTATGCAGCAAGTGCTTTACCCACTAAGGCACATAAGCCTTTTAATAACAGTTCAGGGCTGGAGCTACAACTCTGTGAGAGGTGCCTGAGCATGCAAGAGGCGCTGGGTACACTCCAGCACCACTGCCCACAACAAAAAGTGACTCGTTACATGGTACGCTATCCCCCATCCTCCTCTTTAACTTGGTTAAAAGGGTTTCTGCGGGCAGCCAATCACAGAACCCGTGCCCCCTAGACCCTACAGGTTAGTAATCTATGCCAGCTGTTCTCAGATATTTGAGTTGTGGGTAGAGACAAAGGAATAATGAAAGCAGTTGGAGCTACAATACTGTGCTTACAAAGAGGTGACTTTCCGCTTCTATTCCTGGGTTCTTGAACTTTAGTCTAATTAGCCCCTTTGTGCTCAATTTTCGCAATAATGTCGCTCTTCAAAAACACTCATTAAAATGTTTTAAGGTATGACTACTCACACCTGTAATCTCAGCACTCCCAGACATCATGTTAAGTTCCAGGACAGTAATAAACTGTCCTGAAAAACTAGGAAGAAAAAAAAAAGGACAAACAAGTTGTTTAAAAAAAAAAAAAAGAGCTTGGCCTAGAGCCTCAAGCCCATAATCTCAGTACTGAGGAAGCTAAGGCAGGAGGATCATGAGTTCAAAGCCATCTGGGATAGAAACCCTGTCTTTAAAAGGAGGAGGCGAGGAAGCCAGCGGGGAGAGGATAACAGAGGAAGAGAAGATGTGAGAAAAAAATAAATGGAAAAAAGGTGGTGTGTGTGTGTGTGTGTGTAAGCAAATCCTGGTACTAAACCAGACTCTAAATGCTCTCCCAGCACCAAATGGCGCATCTTCTGGATATGTGTGGCGCCACACTCTAGCCAACATCCTTACTAACAGCAACCTGAGTCCTTCACATACACATCTCCACCCTTCACTGCAGTACCAGAGACAAGGCCGAGGGCTTGGAGTATGCCAAGAAGGCGTCCACCAGTGAGGTATCCCAGCCCCTATCCAATTCCGTATTCTAGTATAATATGAACTGCTTTCTGTTGTTGTCTCTCAGAATATGAACTAAAACAAATCTACTGACATGTGTGAATTATCCCCAGTTGTAGAAAAATTCAGCTGTAACTACAGTTAAATCGCCGTTAACTTCAACAGAACTCTAAGTGGGATGCACAATCTGCCAATTTGAGGCTGCCGTCTCTGGGGTCTCCAGGAAATGAAAACAGTCTAGCTCCATTCCCACTCCTCAGAATCCCCATTGTTCCTTTTAAAATGCAAATTTTCTAGTGATCTTCTCCTCTATGCCTGTATCTAATTCTTCTCTTTCCCTTATTCCCTATTGTTTTTTTTTGTTTGTTTTGTTTTGTTTTTTTCAAGACAGGGTTTCTCTGTATTGTTTTGGAGGCTGTCCTAGAACTCGCTCTGTAGACCAGGCTGGCCTCGAACTCACAGAGATCTGCCTGCCTCTGCCTCCCAAGTGCTGGGATTAAAGGCGTGTGCCACCAACGCCCGGCCTCCCTATTGGTTTTTTAAGATTTATTTATTTCATGTATGAATGCTCTATCTGCATGTACAACTTTAAGCCAGAAGAGGGCATTTGATCCCACTATAGACAGTTGTGAGCTATGTGGTTGCCAGGAATTGAACCTAGGGCCTCTGGAAAAGCAGCCAATGTTCTCAACCACTGAGCCACCTCTCCAGCATCTATAAAATATTTAAAAAAAATTTTAGATTGACTTTATGTGATTTTGTTGTTGGGTTAGTTTTTTGGGGTTTTTCTTTGGGGGGGTTCATGACAGGGTTTTTCAGTGTAGCCTTGGCTGTCCTGGAACTTGTGCTGATGAGGCTGACCTTGAACTCAGAGAGTGCTGGGATGAAAGGCATGAGCCACCACCACCCAGGACCATCAACATAGCTTTTTTTTTTTCCTTTTTAAACACAAAATCTTTTCTATTTCTTTTCTTTACTTTTTTGTCCCATATAGTCCGAGATGACCTCAAATTTTCTACGTAGCCAAGGATGACTTGAACTTCTGATCCTCTTGCCACTACCTCTCAAGTCCTGCTAAGAATCCAGAGTACTCATTATACCGAGCATGAGATTCAATGCTAGGTATTCAACCCAAGGCCTCTTGAATAGAAGGCAAGCACTCTACCAACTGGGCTACACCTCCAATCCCAAAACTTCTCTATTTATATTGGTGTTATTTGCCACTATACACCCTGCCTTCTTTGCTGTTACCTCTCAGAAAAATTTAAATATGCAAATATAGCTTATTTGTAAACAATTAACCCCTTCATGACCCTACAACTGCTTTCCACAGTGTGGAAAGTTAAGAACACCTACTGTGAATGGTAGCCTAGATGCTCTGCATCACTTATTTCTAACAAATGAAAACAGATTGCGGTACAGCTCAGCGGTACAGCACTTGCCCTTTGTATGTCAATTTACAGCCCGGTGGGGGGGACACAACTGTAAAACATGTACCTTAATTTATGAATCCAGAGCCCAATGCCCTGGGTGGAAGGAGGTGGTTTTCAGAGTGAACTGCAGAGCAGGCACTTAAATACAGGCTTCTCAGGCCGGGCGTTGGTGGCGCACGCCTTTAATCCCAGCACTTGGGAGGCAGAGGCAGGTGAATCTCTGTGAGTTCGAGGCCAGCCTGGTCTACAAGAGCTAGTTCCAGGACAGCCTCCAAAGCCACAGAGAAACTCTGTCTCGAAAAGCCAAAAAAAAAAAACAAAAACAAAAACAAAAAACAGGCTTCCCTAAAACAAAGAACCTTTTCTATTACTATGTTGTTTCTGGCTATGTTACATGCTCATTTCTTCTTGACTGGATACTGGAAAATCAAATAGGGAGAGAATTCTAACTTAATGCATCTGAAACATATTTCCCCAGGACTGCTCCCTGCCTTTCCTTTCCAGCATCCATCCTTCCTTGGTTTTTATGGTTTGTGAGACAGAGTCTCAGGTGGCCAGGCTGCCCTACTACTGCCACATAATCAAAGGTGACCTTGAACTCCTGAGCCTCCCACCTCCTCCTGGATGCTGAGATTACTGGTTTCAGTGACCTCCTTATAATAAAGGTAGCTAACTACCAAAGAAAACCTTTTTTTTTTTGGTTTTTCGAGACAGGGTTTCTCTGTGTAGTTTTGGAGGCTGTCCTGGTACTCGCTCTATAGACCAGGCTGGCCTCGAACTCACAGAGATCCGCCTGCCTCTGCCTCCTAAATGCTGGGATTAAAGGCGTGCACCACCAAGGCCCGGCTCAAGAAAACCTTTTTGATCTTACCACTCTATCCCTTCTCTTCAAACTTTGAGGACCAGTCTATACTCATTGCCTCCAATTTACTTTAAATTATGTTGTCTTTTGTGTGGTACTATTGCTCACCAAAGTATTTTCCCCAAGATCTCGAATAGCCTACTCTGTAACTGCATAATCCAACTGTCTTTTGTCAAGGCTCACTCTGCTTCTTTAACACACAGCCAGACGGTGGTGGTATACGCCTTTAGTTCCAGCACTTGGATCTCTGTGAGTTCGAGACCAGCTTCGTCTACAAGAGCTAGTTCCAGGACAGTCACAAAGAAACCCTGTCTTGGGAAAAAAAAAACTCAAAAAAACTAACAGACAAAAGCCAGTGATGGTAGTGCCTTCAGTCCCAGCACTTGAAAGGTCAGGCAGCTACCAGCTCCCTAATAGTACAGCAATGGCCAAGTACACTGTCTTTCTGGGAAAGCTGCAGGCATCTCATGTACCTCTAGCCCAAGAGCACGAAGCATGGTCTGAGCCCAGCAAACTCAAGTGGATTTGCGTTGGAGGCCAGAACAGGGCACTGGATTCCCTTGAGCCAAGGTGATAGGGAGTTGTGAGACAACCAGCGTGGGTGCTGGGAATCAAACTTGGGCCTCCGCAAAAGCCACCTCCCGAGGCCTTTACTGGCGTTTGTTTGGTTGTTTATTTCTCTGTATAGTTTTGGCTGTCCTGAAACTAAACTAGCTCTGTAGACAGGCTGGCCTCAAACTCAGAGATTCTCTGGCCTCTGCTTCCCAAGTGCTAAGACAAAAGGTGTGCACCACCACCACCAGGCCCATAAAATGTTGTTTTTAACTCTCACTGTTCTTTCTGTCTTGTTTGTTTTTGTGACTGTTTCATTCTGTAGCCCAGGCTAGCCTGGAGTGGACATGGTAATCCAGTGGGATTACAGGTATGAGCCATCACACTCGGCTGTCTTGTATTTCTAGGGAGTCTTTGACCAAGTTGAAGATAAGGTCTGTTTCATTTACCAGTTTTTCTGTGTTCAGCAGAGTCTAACACAAGACAGACCCTCAAAAAAGCATTAGGTTCTTGTCCTTTTTTTTCCCACTATGTTGGAGGCTACCTCCAAATTTCACTGCATTTTACTTCTCTTAGAACATGTATTTTCTGCCTCGAAGTAGAATTATGAAAAGCCCCCTTTTGTCCCAACAGATATACTCTTTGATAGGACAGGTTTTAAACTCTTTATTCAGATACTGTTACCTGCCTGTATTGATTATTCAACAATTAATTAACAAATGTACCTATGGTTGAAATAACTGTTCAATACACACACATACCCCGGCCCCTGAGCCTCCAACTCCCTGAACACCCTCCCATATCCTACACTTCAGGGCTTTCCCATTTGGCCCACTAAGCTAAACCCCTAGCCCCAATTCTTTTCATTGCAATTGTGTGTGTTTTCCCCTAATATCGATTAACAAAGCACGGTTCCCATACCACAAAGGGCGTTCTGATTAGTCAGATGCATTCCGATGTTATGTAGGGCAGGGGAGGCAAACTTAGATTAGAAAAGGGTTCCCGGTCTCTTCTGAAAAGTCAATCTACACTCCGAGAACACAGTGAGCAAGTTCGAGGCCAGCCTGGGATACTTAGTGAGACCATCCTGGCCCAGCTTAGTGGTATACGTTATTAACCCCAGAATTTGAGAGGCAGGAGCAGGGACAAGTGGATCTCTAAGTTCCAAGCCAGCCTGGTCTACACAGGTCGCAACCTCCACCCCCGACCCCAAGACCAAAAAACAAGCAAACCAAACCAAACCACAAAGCCAATCTACTAAAGACTCCTTAGTTAAAATAGTTACAGAAGGCCACAGAGAAACCCTGTCTCGAAAAACCAAAAAAAAAAAAAAAATAGTTACAGAAGACTAAAGTGGTCGAGCCTGAGTCACGTGGTTTTGCAGAGTGGGTGAGCGCGGTTTCAGGGTCACAGACTAAACAATTCATTGACTAATAACCCTCTGGGGCTCGTTACTAGATGCCAACGCCAAACCATACCCGCTTTATAGTACCTCGGAGAAGGGAAAAAAGGCGACCCATCACCTTGGGGACCCGGACACCCTCCCAGACCCCACTGGGCTCACCCTCCAGCCTTTCGGACGTGGCTCTCCTCTACATGCCCACCTACTCATGCCTCAGGGGGGGTCCTGATCACCTCCGAGGACCTCCCGCCCCCGGGTGTGACCACCGAGAACGTGGAAGGGGCTGAAGGCCGTACAAACCGCAAACCCTACTTCCTGCACGAACTCGACACGAACCAAGCTGCCCTCAGCGCTCGCGGATTCTCACCTGTTCGGCAGACACCGCCCCCTTCCCGGTGCTGCTCCCGCTGGTCTTGTTCACACGACCGCTGCTGTCCGCCATCTTCGCCACCTGAAAGCTTTCCGGCCTGCGCACTCGCACTGCGTCACATCCGGTCTGGTAGTTACCACCCACTTGCCCCTGCGCTTCTGGCTCCCAGGAAGCTCCTCAGATCGACCCTGCGAATGGTTTTGGCCGTGTCTTCATGTAGGACCTACTCCCCAACCCTGCCCGCTGCGGTGAATTCCACCTACGATGCTTTAACTTGTGCAACAGAGATTCTTGCCCCAGGGAGAGGCGGGGAAGGACGCGCTAATCAGAGGGCGGGGTCTAGGGTTGGGATCTGGTCCTGTGCCCCCTACCCGCCCCGAGATGGTGGCGATCTAGGGAGCGTGAATTCCTTTCGCGGTACTGGTGTAAGGGGAAAGATGTGTTGAGCCTATAAAGCTGTGCAGGTGGCACAGCCGAGAAGAGAGGATTGGGGAAACGAGGAAGGTTCCATGAGATGACTTGAACCGCGGAAACCTTTGGCAGAGGAAAGGGGCTTCAGTTTTAATGTGAGATCACTGGAAGTGGAGGTATTGAGGCACGGATCATAGTCTTCTCTCCCAGCTTCCCATTTTTCGGTTTCTTTCCATAGCTAATAGTGAGGGGGCAAAGCTTTTGAAGCCTTGGGGGAGGGGATTACTGGCCAGGCCTGGAAATGGCAGACAATTCTAGAAACTTACTACATGAAGGAAGGTTAGGTGTTCTGATTTCTCACCTTCAGGCTGGGCTGCATCACCAGGCCACCTCGACAACTCCTATCCCTTTTGTGTACCGGAAACCGGTTGCCTCGAATCTCAGTACTTTGTACTCAACCCAGGTAACATATTTTCTTGTTCTCTGCCTGGCTCATTGCTGCTCAGTCCGTGTTTATGACTTCAGGGTGGGGAGACAAATGTGTCTGCCACCCACCAAACATTTAATAAGTGAACACCAGTAGCTCTGGAGCTATTGTGCTCTGAGAGAATGGAAGGAAGTTGCTAGGGATGGTGGGACACAGGCTGGAGGAGGAACAATCGGGAGTTTAGGGTCATCCTCAGCCACATAACAAGGCCTGTCTGGGCTACAGAACACCTTGTCTTAAAAAAGAAAAAAGTCTAGGTTTGCGGCCCCATCGCATTTGAGCCTCTGGGCTTCTCCATGGTAGCAAATCTGAGGACACTGCCTGTGTCATTCACAGGCTTAGAGCCATGGCCCGGTCCTCCTCAACTTCCTGGGAGCTGCCCATGGTGGCTGTGTGCCAGGTAACATCAACACCAAACAAGCAAGAGAACTTTAAAACATGTGCTGAGCTGGTTCTAGAGGCGGCCAGACTGGGTGCCTGCCTGGCTTTTCTGCCTGAGGCATTTGACTTCATTGCACGAAATCCTGCCGAGACGTTACAGCTGTCTGAGCCACTGGATGGGGACCTTTTGGGACGATATAGCCAGCTTGCCAGGTACAAGGGTGGGAGGGAAGTAGCATCGTTACTGGGCACTGTTCCTGGATTGCCACATAGAGGGGGTAGAGCCTTGAGTTGTCAGTGTCCCCTCCCCCCAGGGAATGTGGAATCTGGCTGTCCTTGGGTGGTTTCCATGAGCGTGGCCAAGACTGGGAGCAGACTCAGAAAATCTACAATTGTCATGTGCTTCTGAACAACAAGGGTGAGACTTAATATTTTAGCTTGTCTCTTTCCAGGCTTTTCTACCTACAACTCAGATGCTTCAGCATTATTTTCTCAACTATTTAGCTTTAGTGGGTTTTGTACTTCTGATCTTACAAATGACTCTTTGGGAGGAGAACTAAGCTGGGCTCCTAGAGTGTCTGAGTATTTTCTCTCTATCTCTTACTCTAGGATCAGTAGTGGCCAGGTACAGGAAGACACATCTATGTGATGTAGAGATCCCAGGTCAGGGACCCATGAGGGAAAGCAACTCTACCTTGCCTGGGACCACTCTTGAGCCGCCCATCAGCACACCAGCAGGCAAGGTGGGATTTGAAAAGGAAATAGGAAATCATTAAAAAGTGGTAACATCCCCCTTAGGAGTTGAATGATGAAGGTACTGGGTGTTATGATGAACGGGGCAGGGAAGGTTGAGTGGATTGTTTTTCATTTCAGGTTGGTCTGGCAATCTGTTATGACATGCGGTTCCCTGAACTTTCTCTGAAATTGGCTCAAGCTGGGGCAGAAATACTGACTTATCCTTCAGCCTTTGGATCTGTCACAGGCCCTGCCCACTGGGAGGTAAGAGAATGCCTCCTCAAAACATAAGGACTCCTTTTAATCTTATTCTTAGTAGAGTGGCGACACAAAGCTAAACTCCAGCACTCTAGAGGTTTGCCACAGGTTCAAGGCCATCATGCTCTACATAGTGATACCTTGACTCAAAACACAAAAATAGAAGCCAGGCAATGGTGGCACACACCTACAAGCAGAGGCAAGGGGATCTCTGTGAGTTCAAGGCCAGGCTGGTCTACAGAGCAAGTTCCAGGACAACAAAGGCTACAAAGAAACCCTGTCTCGAAAAACAGAACAGAACACACTGGGGCTTGATGGAGCATGCCTTTTATCCTAGCACTTGTGAGGCACTGGCAGGAAGACCTCTAGGTTCAGGCCAACCGGGGTTACACAGTGAGACCTTACCTCAAAACAAAACAAAACAAAGCAACCAAACCTTACTCTCCTCTGTTCTTCTTACTTGAAAGCTTTTTTCTTCCCTTCCCATCCAGTGGGGAAATTCACTCCTCAGATAGGTGTGTCATGTTAATGTAGTCACATCTTCCAGTTGACTAGCAGAATGCTCAGAGTAGATTGGCCTGGAGATTGTCACTTGCCTGTTAATTGCTACATGTACCTGAATGAACACTTCTTATTCTCAGGTGCTGCTGCGAGCCCGTGCCATCGAATCCCAGTGCTACGTCATAGCAGCAGCACAGTGTGGACGCCACCATGAGACAAGAGCGAGTTATGGGCACAGCATGGTGGTGGACCCCTGGGGCACAGTGGTGGCCCGCTGCTCCGAGGGACCAGGCCTCTGCCTTGCCAGAATTGATCTCAACTTCCTACAGCAGATGCGCCAACACCTGCCTGTGTTCCAGCATCGCAGATCTGACCTGTATGGCAATCTGGGTCAACCACTGTCTTAATTAAGCCTTTTAACTTTTGCTGGTTTGCTGGGGTTGAGACACACACACAGACACATGCACAACTGGGAGATGATGCTACTGTGACTTGTAGGCAGGACCCAAGCACAGTTCCTTTCACTTGCAGAACCTTAAACTCTTAATGGAACACAGGTTCAAGTTCGTGGGAAAGAAGAAAATTTGACCTCACCTCAGATTTCAGTTTCAGAAAAGTAAAATTTTATATAGTCAGTGTTTATTTCATGAAAACTGAAGTTATGCTGAGGGCTGAGCAGCACTGGCATTGAAAAAAATATATAATAATCATAATGTCTGTCTGGGCATCTCCTTTGGGGACTGGGAGGGGCGGTGGTATGGTACCTGCTTAAATAGGCTCCACTGGTAAGCCTCCTGGCTCCAACATACCTCCCTGCCTAAAAAGTGCAACAACGCTCAGTGCGTGTCCATTCCATCCTCCGGAGGAGGAGTTGGTACTGAATACCTCACTTTCAAGCCAGAAGGAAGCGAGGGCAAGGGGCTTGGGGTAGGTTAAGAGTTTGACACATCCCACTCCCTCCTCTTCCTTCCTCTTTTCAGGGAAGCTGCACTTTAGCCCGCAGCTTCCCCTCTGTCCATCCTGTGCATCGGTCACACAGGCGTCACAGGTGACAGGAGTACGAGGCTGGCCCCATGGTCTATGCTGGGGAGGACCTGACAAAGGGGGAGCCACACCAGGCAGCGGTTTCAAGCCGTGGAATGAAAGAAAGGCAGAGAGGAGCAGCACCAGAGGCCAGGAGAGAGTGGAGAGGGCCACAGCTTCTTTGTTTTTAAAAAATTCTATAATTTGGAAGAAGGTGGTAATTAATTTCCAAAATACACTTCAGAGTCCCACCTTCCACATAGCTCCTTTACTCACAGCCCTTTGGTTTTTCAGACAAAATTTAAGAGCCCTCATAAAGCCATAAGTATTGATTACCCCTCAATGCACCTGAAAGCAACATTCAGTCCCTTACAAAGGCTATGCTCCATAGACTGTCCCTATACACTGTCTTACGGCTCAGTGGTAACGTGGCTGCAGAGACACATAGGGGTAAGTGGCAACAGGAAACAGAGGGGAAGCCCAGGCACATGGGTGCAGGGAGGGGTAGGGAACACCATTTCCACTTTCCTTTGTCTTTTCCTTTAAAAAAAAAAAAAAAAAAAAAAAAAAAAAAAGGTGGTGTGATTGGTTGGAGGGTAGAGAACAAACCCAGAACAGAATGTAAGCTCCAGCGGCGATGGAGCCAGCAGCCCCCAGAGAGGTGGGAAGGGTAGGTCAGGGCAATGCTTGCAGCATCAAGTTCCTCAGGAGTTTCTGTCGGCCCAGCTCATAGTCCTCCTCATCCACGTTCACCAGCAGCTTGATGGCCTCATGGCCCACAGCTTGCTTGAGAGAGTCTGTGATGAAGACACCTTTCAGTGCCTCTAATAATGAGCCATTGATGTAGTCGCGCCAGAATGCGTCGAGGTAGGTGAGCTCAGAGAACTTGATGTCACAGATGATTGAGCCCAGGTCCCGGGACTTGAGGATAGTGTTGGCCTGGTTAAAGCGCTCAAACTGGCGCTCAAGTGGGTCCTGCTTATTGGAGAAGACATTGCCTTGCAGAGCAGTCTCATGCTGGCAGTATTCCGCCCGAACGCGAAGCCTGATGTCTGTGAGAGATTTAAGGAGAATGGCTTACAGTAAGGATGTGTTTACGTCCAAAGCTAGAAAAGCAAGCAAAACCAGCAGAGTAGAAACCCTCTTCTCAGCTTCTCCATCCCTTCCCAGAACAATGCTTCACTGTGTCCCCAAAGCCCACGTCTCAATGATGGAGCTTCCCCACAGGAAATATGCTCAGGGCACTCACAAACAGCATCTTGCTTATATCAAGTATTTTATTAAAAATGTGCAGAAGCGTATCCGAGCAGTCTTCTCTA